CCGAGCAGCCACACGAGTCACACATCATAGCTCATCACCTCCATCGTTATGAGCCTTGAGTCCCTGAAACCAGCAACAATAATGCTTAACAGCACTCCTCACAGCACTCGAAGCAGAGGATACCGGCGCAACTAGTCTCACATTAGCCAATTCCAAACGCCATGCCAGTATAATGGGTGACAGTGACATACACTCCACAGCAAACATCTCCGGCGCCACCACCGCGCAGCTGCATCCCCATGGACTCCTGGTTATGCTTTAGACAAGATTAGTGTCTATTCCTGATTGTAAGAATGGGATCGGTGGATGGAAACAAACCGGTTGCTCGGTCACGACACGCTCTGTAGACGGGGCCTCGGGGCTAGCGGGCTGCTGCATGGTGAGGGTCTTGGGGTCCCAGGTGGGTTGTTGCTGGGCGGGAGCAGAGTCCTTGGAGGATTTGAAGAAGTCGAAGAGGCCCATTTTGTGGTGTAGGTTGGACTTTGTATGAGAGGGTTGAAGAAAGTGTGATAGGGTGAGGATGCGGAGAGTCGGTGCAAGTTGAGTAGGACGGTGTCGGAGTATGGAAGCGTGGTAGAAGACGGGAGAAGGCAGGACTTATGTACTTTCCGAAACCTGAGCTGGGCCGGTAAATAAGACGCTAGAAGATAAAGGTACAATAGCACCGCCACTAACTAAATAGTCAGGATTATAGGCGCCCTCTGTTAGTGCATGCTGGAAAGTCAACGCTGAACCTAGGTAATGAATACACAGAGTCATATGGTTGGGGTGGAGTTGGACGGGAGACAGGTCGTCGTCCTACAGCCACTCATGGATGATGGCACAGAAAGAATCCACGCTGTTTGGCCCTCAGCCCTGCCGACTTGCGTTGTCGGTGGAGACTTCTTCTTCATTTGGATGATTCTGATGGATTTGATTCGATTCCATAAAATCGACCTTCCCACAATTTACTGTGGCTTGTTAGCACAGCTAGGCAACCTCATTTCCGATGATGCGGTGAAACCATGGCTCAAATTTCAGTCTTTGGCCATTGTTTGTGGCTAAGCTTTGCTCAAGCTCCATTTGTCCAGCTTGGCGGGGGCTATTCTTAGGATACTGGCCAAGTGCCTTCGCCGAACGCCGATGTAGGGCTGGCTGGGGCACACATTCCAGTGGTCATCCGCATTATTCAGGGATTGCAACCATCAGACTTCAGCGTCATTTCATATTTCGATATAATGGGAGGACTTTTCAGCAACAGGTCAATAAATGAATAGTGGAGTGCCTGATGATACACATTGAGTGAATGATACCTGGAATACGCGCCCTCGGGAGTATCATATCTGGATTTTTCAACGCAGATATCTGATGGCTATATAGCCTCATATCGAGCTCCCAGTCCCTTCTCTGGCTGCGATGTGTTAGCAGATCGATCAGGTAGAACCTGGTTGCGAAATGAACAATTTCAGTCCCCGTTTTCATGAGCCCGCGACCAATCCATGAGGGGTGATTGTGCCCATCTTTGAACCTCAAATGCGTTGCCCGGAAAAGTCTTCATTCTCAATGTAGCCGTGAATTGCTTTACCCTGAGTTTTAGTCAGAGGAGACGTTGTAGGGAAGTAAGCCTGCAAATGGTGGGTATTATTCGCTGGGATCCGCATAGAAGGTCGTATTCCACTGCTCCACTATAGCACACTCAGTAGAATATGATTTATGGTAACTGACAGGAAAGAGAGCATGGCTATAAAAAGTCCAGAAGAGGTTGAATAGGCCCATCTGCCTGGACCTAAGATCAGGAAAAGATTCCTGTTGGATTCTACTCCGTAAGTTTCACCACATTTTGCACGGAGCCTCTTGCCTTGAAACTTATGGCTACTGTTGATCTGCTTCAAGAATCATGTTTTCCCGGTCCTCTTTGATACCTCTCCGTGGCACATCGTTGGAATAGAGCTAACCTAGAGATCTCCAGGTCGCGTCGGCCGGAAATGTTAGCAAGAAAGTCACACAAAGAAACTGCCAGACATGGATTGTCGAGTCCGCTGAGCAACTCGTTAAGGACCGTATCTTCAGCAGGGAAATTGCCAGTTACCTTTGCGCAATTCAGCAGTGATCAAATCCACAGACTGGGAGCAAGGGTATCCAGGCTTTGTGCTGGAATCCAGATGTCGAATATTTTCTGTCTCCCATGAGAATATTGGTTTACAGCTCCGGAGACAAATGATGTAAATGCTGGTCCATTTTTTGGGCAGATCTATGCTCTTTAATGATTGCTTATTGACCCCAAGAGACTGTTGGCTATCAATGCAAGTTGATCTGCGACGGTCCTAGCGCCTCCACTATCAGCCTTGACAGGTTACGTAGTCATGTAGACTCTTTATCAATTATGACTGTACGGACACGATCAGATTAAATTCCTTTCGACAAGACGAAATAAAGCCAAGGATGATAGTATGTCTCGTCATCCATGGGATCCAGAATCATTGGCAGATATTTCACGCGCCAATCTTCTTGGAAGGCATCATTAAAGTGGCTCAGATTCACTCTTATCCACCACGCCTTGCAATATTCCCAGTATGCAGGATACCAACCAGCCTGGGCCCAGTCGACAATGGCGGCCACTTTCGGGCTCCGCCCTGGGGATATGATGATATTGGGCGGAAGAAGATCATTATGCGTAAAACAAACGTGTGTCTTGCAGCTAATTTCAATCCCGCAGGAACTGTGAAACTGTTTGACAGCGTTCTTACCTTGGAAGGGACCAATAAGGTCTGGATGGCTTTTAAGAAATATGTCGTTTAGCGGCCGATTGCCTAGACTACCTATAAATTTCGGTGGTTAGGTCTCCTGAATGCCACAGGGTTGAAACTCACCTATATAGTGGACATCAAGGTCTTGTTCCAAAGACCTTATTATTTTTAGGTAACCGCGTAGTTCCTCATAAATGGCTTGTCTCTTATCTTTATTTAAGCTGCCCCATCTCGCCATTAACATCTTACCCTTAATGAGCGATATGTAGAGAAAAGTCTGATCCACATCCTCTGCCTAGCTAAAGACTTCAGGAACAGGCATATAGTTTTATAATTATTCGCGTACCACTATTTAAGTCTGGGCTTCGACAATAGTCATATCCGCGCCATACTTCACAACCAAGCCTAGTGATGGGATCGCGACAGGTAGTAGGCAATTAAAACTTGCAGCAGAGGCATGGCTTGAATATCTCCTGGTGATGGAAGTGCATGCGCTCGTTTCTCCTTGAAGAAGCTGGATTCCGGGAAGGTCTTTATTTTGGTAGAGTGGAGAATTATTAAACTAGCGGTAGGCCTAAAAAAGACAATATTGACTAAGACAAGCGCGACTTGAGGCAGGATACTCTGAAACGGATGTTTGGGGTGAGCGAACGCGCAAGTCATAGATAGAAGTACGCTCCACGTGACACCCGCTAGGCACCATTATGGCCAATCTCTTCACACGCAGGGGTTGTTGAGTCTGTCAAGAGTAGAAGCAATCCTATTGGCCTCGAGTACACTACAGCAAGGCAGATAGAGCTCACGGTATGGTCTCTAGAATAAAGTGATAGCATTCGTTTCGTGTGTGCCTTGTGCTAACGATATGACCTAAGGCCAAATAACTGGTCCTAAACAACGCGAAATATTGATCAGATGGACGACTAATTATCAAAGCCTGACGGCTGACCTAGCTTCCTCGATCTTTCGGTTCAGGCTCCATATAATAAGTGTACATTTACCGCCGTAACCTCGTCTCTCTAATGATGTGGGTGCCAGTTTCAGTTATGGTGACCTCAACCATGGATCTGATAACAGATCCTTTGCCGATTCTCTCTCTTCCGGTCGCCATCGAAGCATCTTGCGCATGAATCCAAGAAATAGCTTTTTCTGTGAGCCTTGCAAATTCCCTTCTAAGTCCTCCAAAAACAGTAAGGGAATTTGAACTCTTCCTTTCCAATTACCTGGGCATTCTCTGATCAGCACCAGCAACAAACAATCATACTGCCAAACATACCTTCACTATCAAAGAATTCTGTAGCGTATTCGCTCTTTCAAAGCATATCTTTTGGTGGAGGCCCCAGAAGCGCAATCATCTCAGCAAGGTGATGACTGTCAGAATTTTGCTTGGATTGATCCCGCGCATAGAATAGATGTCCTCTTTGGAAAAGGTCCCACGTCTGCAAAAGGTTCATTATTAGTCTAAGTAGACCAGATGATCATCATGCCGGGTAAAGAAAGAGACAGGGCTGGAAGAAGCGCGTTACATACCACGACTGCCACATTCTAAATGTCAACTTTCTGGTCTCAGGGCATCCGCAATAGCACTTCGGGGGCATGGTATATGTAAGGTTGGATATCCCCAATTTTAGTTAAGCTAAAGTAAGCCTGGCTAAAGTCACATAATACAGGTCGACCATGTTACTTAGTTCTTCCGAGTTTGCGAGAGGCATATATCACATAATCCCTAACTATCTTCCATGGCCCTTTACCCCAGGAGTATCAGTTCTACCTTCTAACAAATTAGTATCATCCCTGCCTAACTTATTGTATACATTTCCACTGCAATTTTACACAAAGAATGCTGAATCTTGCTCTTTTTAGTCTCTCAGTCTCTTGCTTAATACACTATATCTTTTGCACAGTGGTCATACAGAACAAAATGACCTACACTTACGCGTGCCAAAGGCACCTTTTTAATTATTAATAGCATTATAATAGACTATATAACAGGCAACCTTAGCGCTTCCCTGCCCTGGACAATAACTAGTTGGTTATCTAGTCTATGCCCTTTAGTGAAAACAAGTTTGTGCCAGAGTACTACTCCGGACTCCGGAGATCAATCCAAAACTGTTTGGGGCCGAAAATCTGAACCCAGCCCGATTTGCCTAAAGAAGTGGGCCTCGGCGCGGCCCTCAACCCCCCACTTGGCGAGGGTCCTTGAGACTAATATATTAATGGCATTCGACGTTTGTTGAGATACGTCGGCCATCAAAACCTACTAATACTATTTCCAATATGAGCTGCAGGGTAAGCAATAGTCTGAGAGAGACACATGGACTGCGATACATGGAGCTCTCGGCCATCTTCCATCACAGTCAAGCCCAGTATCCCAGTACACAGAGCTAACCCGATGATGCCCAGAAACTCCCCGACTTCGTGAAACACATGAAGCGCGATCCCTCTGGCAAGGGTTTCACCCACCTCGGCAAGGATGGTGTATTGCGTACCATCTCAGGCGACTATGAGGTTGTTGATGCGCGCGGCCTTGACCCTGAGCAGATCAAGGATATTCTGGATGTTATGCCCTTCGAGCAGGCCCAAAAAGAGGACTTCTATGGTGTGGACGGCACAAAGGTTACAAGCCAGGAAGCACTATTCCATCCAGCGCCAGGAATCCTGCCGACTAAACCAACCGAGGAGGAGGCTGCGGAGAGACGGAGACTCATAAACCAGAGTTGGGAGGCCTATTCGCAGGCGAAGAGGAAAGAGCATGAAGGGACTGGAGAAGGCAATTCTCCGGAGGAGTTGCCATAGCAGGGTTCATTCGGACACCAACAGTTGAAGTCAAGTGCAGAGCATGTATTGTACCCTAGTTTTTCCGGGGGCAAGACTGGAAGAATGACGTTCATTTCCTAATTCTCCAAGAAAGACTAGTAAACTTGGACACTCCTTGTAGAACTCCCACGAACGAGTGGTTCGACATTCGAATACTTGACAGCCTGGGTGTAGCATTGGGCTAAACAGGTATTCGCATTGTATCCCTATTATTATGTTACGGGAGTTATCCATACTTTGTGGGAAAAGCACACTAACATAATGGGACGACTACAGCACAACCACGCTGGAAGCAAGTATGGATACATAGGGCCTGTCCACGTACCTACACCACTGACAGACATCATCACAATCCTTAACGTGACTGATCTAACATGCCTGTTAGAAGCTATGCTCATTCTAGTAAATGCATAGTACCTGTAAAATTAGCCTGTTCATGATGAGGGATTGGATATTTAAAACCCTGAGAGGACCCTGAGGGCCCACTTTCTTAAGTCCTGTTGGAGGGAAGTAAATGAACAGCGCTAAGAGGGATACACTCACTTAATGCTAGCTTAATTTTACATAGCTATATCTTACTCTGTGAAAGTCGACATGCACCATGACTGCGCCGTAAGAACCCATTATTGACTGATGTTTGCTGTCGCTGAATACCCCTGGCAATAAGTCATATACTAAGCTTTATTTAATTTAACCAGTATCTAAATAGCTAGGCTAGCCTGTCTAGAACTATCTATTAGTCCATTAAACATCTTAACAATGACCTACTGCCTAATGAGGAGCTGTTTAGTGATGTAGTAAGTTAGTTATATTAGTGTCAAAGCCTACTAATGACAGGCATAGTTCTTAGTTAATGGAGAGCCCGCAGCAAGTTCTACTCCAGTCAGCGTTTAGTCGATGACCAGAGAGACTGTAAGTAGCGTTCACCTTCCCTCAACCCTGTATCATTTGAAAATGATGACCTTTTTCCGAGCACATTAAGCTGTAAACCCAACTAGCACACACATAGCCGACAGTAAGTCATACACATGGATGACAGAGCTGACTTGAACGAGTGGGTAATCTAAGTGGGTGACCTATATCTATCATCCGTTATATTGATAAAAGTTGGGGCTTTGCATAAGCCAGCTTTAGAAAATCGACTGGGATCATCTGCTTCCGGAATAGCAATACCGGTCTCTCGAGTATGCGGTCTCAAGGAGTCTACTCTACCAGGTATTGCCATCTGACCACCTAAACTGCGAGTATAAAGCTCTCTCTTCTCCAGTGGACAAACAGCCATTCAGCCCTCATCATCCAAGCCTCTCAAGACAACCAATCTTCAAAACAAACTACAGTCACTTCTTCGCTTTACTCTACTTTTCTCTCCTTCTCTCCCAGGGTTTCCTCTAAGAACACCAACATGAAGGCAACCACATTGGTCAGTGCCATCACTGCCTTCGGCCTGGTCAGCGTCGTCTCGGGCACCAAACTCTCCTACACCATGGCCGAGGCTATCTGCGGCGACCTCGGCGTTATAAACGTCACCGACCTCCCCGAGGGCGTCAATCCCAATGCGGTTCGAACATGCAAGGAGCACCCGGAGGGTGGTGCCTTTCAGAAGAGCCTCGACAAGCGCGACTGCTGGTTTGGCAGCTCTCTCGGCTGCAGTGTTGGCGGATACTGCTACAAGTCGTGCGCTCAGCCTGGCTCTGGGGAATGGTGCTGGACAGCCCAAAACAATGGATTTGGAGACTGGGTCAGATGCAAAAGCAGCAGCGACTGCAGTCGCGGGGATCAGTGTGGTGCTGGTGGTTGCAAAGCATGCGGATGCAGCTGCTAAGCCTGGAAAGCAAGCATGGCCTTCGGAATGTATGTACTACACCTCTACCAGCACGCGAGTTGGTCTGATGCTAGGAAGCCCGATCTTGCCAGGTACCTTAGATACAGACAATAAAGACTTTCAGTAAAAGCACGTATTTGCCAGGAGTAGGGCAAAGCTGCCGGCGCCCTTGTCCTTACTCAGAGAAAATGTGGTCTTGGGTCTGAATAACGTTGTTCCGAAGGTGCAAAGCACTTTGTACTTCTGTGGAATAGAAAGCGGATGAGGGATTGTCAGGCCAACAATGAGAAACGAGCCTAAAATGCATACAGGCGGGCAAAAGGACCAAACGGCTGCCAAGGAAACAGAAACAGGCCGCGGACTGCATCTCGGGCTACTCCGGCCCCCGTATTTTGCATCAACCACCAACGAGTCCGACATCAGAGAAGTAAAATAAAAAAAAAAAAAACGTGAACCAGCGATCCCACTCCACCATTATTCCGCCAGCTCACTTCCTCAAAATCTACAATCTCAATTCGAGCAACCGAAAACGAAACCATCACCCAAAATGACCACAAACAACCGCGAACCAGACATGCAATCCATCCGAGAAGCAGACTACCTCCGGTTCAAGCACTACGCCGCCCTAACCTTCCTCGTCGCCTCGCCCGTGCTCATCGCCCTGCCCCCGAGAAAACTAGACCACCTCACCGTCCTCCTCGCAGGCGCCTTCTGCGTCTCCGCAAACCACCTCACCCGCGAACGCACAGGGCGCAGTATCGTCGAGCGCATCGAGGCGCGCATCGCCTCCGCCCCGTCGCTCGCCGTCTCCGACCTCCCCAGCCAGCGGGCGCAGGAAGTCCAGGCGAAGCTGCGCGCGGCGCGGGACGCGCAGATCCGCGAGGGGGGACTGGTGGGCGAGGAGCTGGAGAAGTTGAAGGCGAGGCAGGTGCAGGATAAGGGGGTTGCGGAGCGGATTTGGATGGGTGGGGAGACGGAGGGGTGGAAGGAGCGGCGGCTGAGGGAGGAGCAGAAGGCGCTGGAGGAGGGGAAGGGGTATGGGGATTTGATCAGGGAGCATATTTGGGAGGTGTGGACGTGGGGACAGAAGGATGGGTCTAAGGGGGGGTCGAAGGAGGAGTGAATCGTGTGTGGATGACGGTGGCGTTCTCGCGCGGAAGTGTATGATATAGGGACTATTGTCTATACGAGCTTGGAGTTTGGCGTTGGGCAATGATATCACTTTACTTTGAGCGTGGCTGGATATAAGCACTTTTGACTCCTCAAGCGAAGGGCACAGACGGTGGTCTTCCGGTGTCTTTGGGATCATTGCTCGCTTCTTACCAGCTAGGAAATATTCTTTCAGACAACCTTTGATGATATTCTACGTCAATGAACAATTGCCACTCACTATAATGTATCTTTGAACAAAGTTGACTGCTTTAGGTGCTTAATACTGTATATAGTAGCCTAGATACTAGCTAAATGCTATATACAGATACCGAATGTAGACAAACATGATGAACAAGGTAACTTGTCCGCAGAAGAGAAATATATCAGATGATGCAACGACACCAGGATCCTATCTGCTTAATGAACAAGATCAAACAGGTTACCGTTCGTCGCATTGGTGTCGTTCCGACCCAACGATCCCAGCTCAAAGTTCTGGATGGCACCCCGAAGAAGACCGTAGTGGGTGATGTAGGTATCGTCCTTGGTGTCGGGGGTAATACCGGCACCGAACAGCAGGGTAACAATCTGGTTATTGTTGTTGGGGCTCGAATCATCGTCGTTCTGCCATGTGGCCTCGTCAAAGGTGGCGACGACAAGCGTGCCCTGCTTCTCCAGTTCCGGCAGGTAGAGGTCCAGGAAGGCGTTGAACCAGTATCCTGAGGTGGTGGTCTGATGCTGGTAGTCTGAATCCGACATGGGGTCGTGGCCGTTGTGCAGCATGTCCGGGACATAGTAAGAGTAGGCGGGCAGCTTGTGGGACCTGACGTCGTCGGCGAACTTCTCCGTGGCGTTGTAGATCTTGGTGCAGCGCTCGTAGTCGGAGGTGTAGGTGCTGAAGAGCAGGGCGGGGACGTCCAGACGGCGGTAGACCTGCGCGGTCCACACGGGGTTGGTGTTGTCCATGGGTCCGTTGAAGATGTAGTTGTTGCAGTCGAGGGGCCCGCGGTGGGTCACGGCTGGGCTGTACCATTCGACGTACGTGGCGTAGTCGATGCCCTTGACGTCGAGGAGATCGTAGACGGTGGTCGCGTCGATGTTGTAGAAGTCCTCGTGGGCCATGCCGAAGAAGTCACCCGCGACGAGAGCAGCGTAGTTGGGCAAGGAAGGATGGGTGACTCCGTGGGAGTTGGTGAGCAGTCTGCCGCGCCGAGCGAGCAGCTGCCAGAACGGATCGTCCATGGTCCAGCTGAACACCTCGTTCTCAAAGATGACGTGAAGGATCTTCTTGAACTTCTGGCGCTCGCCACGGCCCTCTTCGTGGTCGAACAGAGGGGCCGGGTCGATGCCGCGGGGGTTCTTCTCTCCGACAGAGAAGAAAGGGTACATGGTGTAGGAGCCATCTGGGATGAAGTAGCCATCCTGAGCATCGTAACCGGTGAGGTTGGCAATGGCAACGGTCTCGTTGTTGACCGCCCAGTGGTAGTAGCCACCGTAGACTTCCGGATCAAAGGGAGCTTTGTATGAAAAGGTGTAGTTGGCGAGACGGGGGTCATTCCTCTGGAGCACACCACCACCGATAAACGGGATTTGATCAGCAGGAAGAGCCTTCTGGCTGGATGCCAGAGTGGCCAATGCCACAAGGGCCGCAGAGGTAGTAAACATTTCAATAATGATCAAGAAACACAAAGAAATGAGTCCTGGAAGATGACAACATCAGGTCGATATAGCCGTGGAAACCAGTGCCTTTAATAGCACTTCTAGCAGACTGCTGCTCTCCCTTTGCAATCCATATGCTGATATAGGCAAGACCCTACTGTCCTATCATATCATCATAGTTTGTCACTTCCTAGCCAAAAGCAAAGTCCTCCTGAAGATCTTACCCACAGAGATGCACAAAAGAAAGCAACAAAGGGACATTATAATAACCAAAAAGGGCTAGGCTGTATCCTTGACCTGCAGGCTAAGCAAAAAGAAGCTTTCCTTGGAAGATGTTGGGTTGCTTGGCAATGAATACCCTGAGGCATGCCAAATCCCTCCATGGCCATTGGGTACCTAGTAGAACCTCATCTCCGGGCAATGTCTGCATCATATTGTTGCTGCCTACAAAAACCGGATCCGTTGCTTTGAGACCCCACACAAGTAAGCTTATCATAGAGGGATAGGGTCTCAAGGAATCCATGTGCAGGAAGTCGGGTACTCAATAGGGTGCTGAGATTTACTACCAGCAATGCAGGACAGAGAAATAAAATTACATGAACAGAGGAACCCTGAAATCCTCTAATACCATTCTTGTTTGGGTTAGTCTTAATCTCAGGAGAACTGGTAATCTGATTGGTCTCCGGCATTGATTTAGGTACTTTGGGTAAATTATACCTATCTAGAGAGGTATACGCTAAGAAAAAAATCAACTTTCTAGATCAAAGTAAAGGGACAGCATGTGAGACCATGAGTGTTCTATTGGCGCCTTCCATTGATCCGAGTTCCTTATTTATCCTCCACATTCATATCGATGGATTTTTAATATGGAGTGCAGATGAATGCCAAGTTAGGTACAACATCAGCTATAACTAACTCCCATGCTTCAAGGCTGAGTATCGACCGCAGCAATGCCTCGCGCCTCCAACAACTAATTGCTGCACGTGTCTGTAGCTTAATTACTTGCCCTAAGATACTGAAGTTATTCTGCCTGAGGCACGAAGAGACTGTGCCAGGTGGATTAGTAATCAAATATAAACAAATGCTTGGTTGCTGCATCGTGACTGGCTCAACAAGGCCACACAGGCCATCCTTAAGACCCGGGATGGGCTGCTGCGCGCGGCCGTGCCCAGTCCCCTGGGCAGCTGCAAGTTCCTCAGCGACATCACCAATGAGGAAATGTTTGCGGCACTGCGCCGCCACAAGGAGCTCATGAAGGAGTACCCGCGTGCGGGCGCGGGTATTGAGGCCTACGTTGATGCCAGCGACACTGGATACACGATTAAGGACCCGCAGACGCATGCGCAGAAGATGGTTATGGGTGTTGATGGGGAGGAGAAGAGGAAGAGTGTCTTTAGCGATGGGGTCTTGAATGGGCTCAGGGAGATTGCCGTCAATGGCTATCCGAATGGCCTGCGCAATTAGACATAGAGATGGTTGGAGTTTATGGGAAAAGATTTGGTCATGATTACTTAGAAAATAAGTTGTATATGTGATTAGGTTGTCATCGCTTGTTCATATGAGACAAATGAAAGAGGAACTGGTTGATTCGCACTTTCTTGAAGATCCTTCATTGTAACAACGACTTATTTATAAGGGCTGATGGACTATGGTCATCACGGATTGAAAACTTCTCCTAGTAGCCCAAGATGCATGACAATCGATTTACATCCCGCGAAGTGACGGCGAGTCATAGTGCCCCCACAGGCGGTTGAACAACTCAGCCTCCATTCGCTGCGGCCCCTGTTTCTCACTCCGTATATGACCCATGATATCGCTCCCACCCGGAAAATCAAACTCAAAAGCCGCCTCGCCAGCACCCCGTATATTACAAAGGACAGCCTGCTTGAAATGCCACCGGAGCAGTGCGTCAAGGACTCGCCTTGCATCGTCAGGCTGGCGACAGACGAAGTCGAGCACGTTGCCGTGGTACTCCCACGCGTGAGGCTGAAACCCCATGACTTTGTAGCCAGCATTGGGATTGACTGCAATAGAATAGTTGTCCCATAGACGATGGATGCCGTTGACCCCCAGTTTGAGCGTTATTTCGTCACCCTTCACCCAGGTGTGCCTTACCGTGTGACGTATACCTTAAGGCCTTGTCCCAGGACCCGGCCACACAATGAAGACAATCCTGAGCGAGTTGCAACTACTGAGGATGAGGCCATAGTTGCTGCAGCTTTTTCTCCCGTCACATATTTGGACCTGGGATCGACGTACCGTGTTGAGCTCGGGAATAGGTTGAACAGGATATCCTGGTATCGATATGGATCGAAGGAGCAGGTTCTGGAGGGACAGGATGCTGGAGGTGGTCTTGCGAGACGACGGCGCGAGCTAGTGGGGGACAGTGAGATGCAGCCAATCCCCCTCGTGATGCAGGGTTCTGCTATCTTCACTGTCGAAGAGTAAGAACTTATAGGATTTAAACTTGTTTTCGGATCTGTAGCTGGGACTGTTGACTAACAATGACACCGATGTGTATATAACCCCATGAGAATAGAAGAGGACACTAAAACGATCGTAGTATATCAGACATAGAGCTTCAATGGAGCCTTGCGGATGTGCTGATAGGGCCAGGAAAATCAAATGCAGAGCCCTAGTGTGCCCATTAGAATTTCTATCCTAGCCTTGCGGCATTATTTGCTCACCCTCATTACCAAAGAGCTAGATGTATAGAGTCTGAATGCCCTCCTACAGAGTTATTCCCTCCTCTATCACTCTCTCAACGACTACCTCCACTAACTTACCTTTTTATAAAGATTACAATCATAACATAGTGCATCATAAGATCTACTAGGACATGGGGATAAATTACATAGGGTTGCATACCCACACATCGGAATCTGGAGACATACGCAGCTATTGTCCCAGATGCAGTCCATAAGAGGGTGAGAAGACTTAAGCATTCAACACATGCTTAGAAGGCATCATGAGCACATCCTGTTTCATGACACCATGCAGAGTACTGCCTATACACTATCCAGAAATATTTCAAGGGTAACACCCTGGAAAATACCAAAAGCATGTGAGATAATGAGTATGCTATCTGGCGCCTTCCATAGTTCAGAGGTCCCTTATTTATCCACCACACATATATTAATGGATTGTTAATATACAGTGCAGATAAATACAAAGTTAGGTATAATATGGGCTATAACTAACTCCCAGAGTATCCACCAAAACAGCATTGGATTTGAGAAGCGCCTTGTCTACGCACTAAGATGCTTACTGGAGCAAAGAATTTTAGTGCTATTATACAGTATCTATGGAGCTCATATAGGCTCTAGTGTCTTCATTTAACAATTTGGCTCCTTAAGCAGTGGCACAGATGCAGCCTGGGAGTAAATCTAGGCTGCTGTACTGTACCGAGTACGCGTATAGATAAGCAATCTGATTCATTGTTGGAATACGCGTATCCAAACTACTTACAATGGAGAGCACAGGCAACCTTCAACATATCTTTCAATTCACTCTCTAACCATGGGATTTAAATATCTCTGTTTTTCCTTGGTCAATAGCCATTCACTCTATCCAAATTCCACTGATTTCGACTAAGTCAATTGTCCTCAGCCCGAAATGACCAAACTACAGCCTCTGAAGAGTGGCTATTATGTGTGGAAATATGTACCTTCTGTGGCAGCGGCTGTCATCTTCATTCTGCTGTTCCTCGCTATAACTTCGGTCCATTTCTGGAAGAGTTTTAGGACAAGGGTCCGATTCACCCTTCCCTTCGCCATAGGCGGCCTGTGTAAGTCATCTTTTGGACTACCTATGATTATAATACACAGCCTCGCATGTCTCGTCCCTAACGCTCCCGAAGTTGAATTCATCGGATACGCCGCGAGAGCTGCCGCTCATGATAAGACTGGCAAACTCATGCCTTATATTATCCAGAGCGTCTTCGTTTTGATCGCACCGACCCTCTTTGCTGCGGCTGTGTATATGGTCCTTGGGCGCATTATTCGCAGCGTGAAGGGGGAGAAGTACTCGCCCATCCGTGTGGAGCGCGTAACAAAGGTTTTTGTCACCTGTGACGTCCTCACGTTTCTCATCCAGGGTGGTGGTGCTGGTATGATGGCGATCAGCAACCTGTCCAGTACAGGGCAGAAGATTGTGCTTGCTGGGCTGGTCTTGCAAATCGTTGCATTTGTACTCTTCATCGCTACTGCGACGGCCTTCTACCGACGTATAGATCACTATCCCACCCCAGCTGCCGTGAACGGTGAGATTCCGTGGAAAAGGCATCTGGGGAGTCTGTTCGCCATTAGCATGCTGATTCTGGTTCGATCTGTCTTCCGTGTTGTTGAATATGGTATGGGGAATGATGGCTACCTACTGGGATATGAGTGGTGCCTGTACATCTTCGATGCGCTGCCAATGTTCATCGCCATGGTTTGCTTTGCAATTTGGTATCCCGCTGACCTACAGCCATTTTTGGTCGGCTCGGACACAGAGATGGTGGGAATCACGGAACCACAGTCGCCACGGGCCTGAGCCAGTAGGTGATTTGCCCATTTTTGTAATGATGCAAATGAGATTCACCCAAAGTCAACAAGCCCAATGTAACCTGTGGCTCCTTGTGCGATTAAATCAAGACACGCCTTTAGTTCCGAATGGTTGCCCCGTATGAGCAGTGAATATTGAGATGCTTGGGTACACTTGAGTATGTTAATGGGCAGCTCAGCCGAAAGAAGGCCGGTGAGGACAACCAATCCTGTGGGATGAACTGCGAATAGTGTCAGAAAGAACTCTTCATTGGTTCTAATGTTGGGATTTGGAAAAATGAATTCTTACTAGTTCATGAAAGTTATTAGTCCCTACCAACCAATTATGAATTTGTCTTATCCCAGAACTTACATACAACTACTAGGTGCGACCTGACTTACAGCAGCTTTTCTGATTTAATTACTGCACAACGGCAGCTTTTCTAATAGATTTAATTACTGCGCTGAGAGGCAGTTTCTTCTAATTTGACCAGAGATCAAGGGAGTGAGTATATCCCTTATGATGAAGAAGAATTTGATGCTCTAGCAAGCTGGGGTAATCTAGTAATATGGTTATGATCAGAGCATGCTAAGGTCAAACTAGATGATTTCTTCCCATAGCGATGAAATGGCCAGATGGATTTATCAAGTGCAGGTGAAGGACGTCGCATTTCTGGGATCGCCTCCCACAAACCTTTGCTGGAGGGGATACGGGCACAAGTCTCTGGCGGTGTTGTTGCGTCCTTTCGTCGCGCGAAGTGTATCAGGGGCATGATTCTTCTCAACCCATTCCATCAACTGGGACATGGCTTCGTTCGGAATCGGTCCGAGTCCACCATAGCAGTGACCGACCCCAGGGGCCTCGAAGAAGCGGTAGAAATCATGGGCCTGTCGATCAAGTCTCAGCACTTCCTCATAGTAGCCGACAGTGCCACTTGGTGGAATCGCTTCGTCCGCAAGTCCATGCCACGTAATCATCTTGCCACCGTTTGCCTTGAACTTGGACAGATCGGGGTTGTTGGTACCAAGCATAGATCCATACCGGCGCATTGAATCATGCAGCATGTCAAAGAAGGTCGAATTTGTCATCTTGCCGAGTGGGAAATTGGGATCTTTGGCAACCAGATACTGGAGCCAATTGCCGGTCAAGTCACTATCGCCGACGGAGCATGTACCATTCGCAGCACAGATGGTCGGAACATAGTAGCTGTTGATTGCTGCATCCTTGTTCAAACCAGGCCAGCCCATTTCCCCAGAGCCGGACCAAGCAGCTTGAATAACCTTGGCACTTGTAGCGGTCAGAGTGCGCTGGTCCCCGTTGCATTCGTAGTTGTGGCCGACAAGATCGTGAGCAGTGATGTTACAACGACCTGGCAAGCTGATGATGCCGTCTTCGACTCCGTCCAACCCGTCGCAGGCTTTGACTGCTGCACTGATGAAACCCTCAATCTCACACGGGGACGGGTAGATGTGATTCTCGTTCATTACTTGCACGGCCCAGTAGCCTGCGGGAATGAAGGCTTGTATATTGATGGCGGGAGCGATGGCCAGAATTCCGTCGAAGGCATCCGGATAGTCCTGGGCCATCATCAGACCTTGCCGGCCACCACCAGAGCATCCGGCGAAGTAGGAATAGCTTGCCGGCTGGTTGTAGTAGGACTTGGTGATTTGCTTTCCGATGACTGCCATGTCATTTGTCGCCTTGGATGCATAATTTTCCAGGAGGAACCAGTTGACGTTGGTTGGGCTGCTCAGCGACCACGACAGGTCAGTCGGAATGGCTCCCGCTCCCACAGAAACGCCTCCATCAGTGGAGGCAGATGCAAATCCTTGGGCGACGGCGTAGGTGAGATAGGTAGATCCAAAGCCGGCGCTGTAGCCCCCACCACCCAAGGCTTGGAATTTGCCGTTCCAGCCCTCGAGGGGCAGCCAGATCTGAGTGTTGACTGAGTCGTTCCAGCCGGGATGGGTGTGGGTGACGGTGACATTGCAAAAGCTGATGGTGTATCGGCCTCCATCATTGGTTCCCGGGCCCAGACTGACTGCTGAATAGTTGTGGGCTTCCTGAGCTTGGACTTTGAGGATGGTAGCCCCAAGCAAGTCGGGCTTGGGGAGATGGGCTGGCGAGCATCGGGAAGCAGCAACTGTTTTGAGGGCTATCGCGCCCAGGGCAAAGAATGTAGATGAGAATTGTACCATGTTAACCGTTTGAGTTTGCAAGTTGAACATGAATTCTTTTCAGGATGGTGGACAGGCTTTATACCTAGGTTATATCGATGGGATTCGGTCATCGTGGATCCCAAGTGGGCTTGGAAAGGGCAACTTGGTAGTAGGCAAAAGCGTTTCGAATTAGAAGCTCTCTTTCAAGCCATGCTCACGCTCCGCCCTGGATAGGGGCCTGTATACCCCCATCAATAGTTTAAGGGAGCTCGCTATACATAGAAGATGGCCTACTGCAAGGTGAAACGACGATCACCACATGGCAGTGGTTATGGAGTACTCAGTACCGGCTGCAGGGCCCACATCTATACGCGTATCCAGACTTGATGTTCTTGGCCTCATTAGTAGGTCAGAGCAGAGGCCACGAAATCTGACTGAAAGGAGGTCACTGTTTCCGTACATAGGTGATAAAAAAGCCCCACATGCTGCATATTCACCGGAGGACATTTGTTCAGGTCTCCCAAATCAGATGATGCATGTGGGCTGGAGCGAGCTGGGGATGCGACAGATCGACTATTTTCAAACCCACAATCTGCTAGCATACTGGCAGGATCGGTTGGAACTTATGCAATGTGAGAATCGCACTTTTTTGAGTTCGTCAGCGCGGGCCTAGCAGGGAGATATCCCTACGTTGGTGGGATCCTTCGTACCTTGATATGACTCAATGCAGCCATTGCGAGACTTAGGCGTCCGCCTCTGATGACGGCTGGATACGCGTATTCGGTTCTGGTTTGGGGTGGGGAACGACCACTTTCTCTAGGAGCAGTAAGCACGCCCATTCATCTCAGTTGTAGGGACAATGGGATAATACCCTGCTTGTATCAAGTAAGAAATGGGCAAGATATAAAAAATGTATCCCGTGAAGAGCACACTAAGGTACTGAGGACAGCTCTTGAGGTAACATCCATATCTACACTCTACAGTCTACTTGAAAGTGGGAGGAGAGGAATAGTTGAAAGGAAACTCGAGCATTCCATTCAAAAGAAAAAAAGAAAAAAGTAACACATACAACAAAATCCCCCCATTCGGGCAGTGGATCAAGGGAAACATCCTCGTCACTTTTCTCTGCGAACGAGGTAAAAACCTTGAACGGGATACATGAAGATAACAAAATCAATCCTCCAGCTGTCTCATTTTTTTGTCTTTTGATCAGCTTTTACCAGTGTTTTTCCAAGTTTCAAGTCTCTCTTTCTCTCTTTCGTCCCCAGATAATAAATGGTCTCCCACTGTGTGGTGAGTACCAAGCAACTACTCAACAGGATCCGAGCCATATAGGTCAGTCCTTTCTTCGTCCCCTGATATAAAAACCGTTCTCCCACTTCACGTGGAAAGAACACTGATAAGATGGATTTGATCACTTGAATCAATCCTCTCTCCTTCTCAAACAAAAAGTGTCTCCCACTTCATGTGGATGAGACTATATCTTCCCCAAGAATCTCTGGATGGGATATTTCAAGATGTCCCTTGACTGAGACTTCAAAGTTTCCTCCGCTGGGATTCTCCCAATCCCGTGGCCGGCGCCGGCCAATTCCCGTGTTCAATTTGTTCTTTGACTGATTATTCAGTCGGTAACTGGAGGTCGAAGAGGTCCGATCGAATGTTCAGTCGCTGCACCGGAGCAGTCGATAGGCGAAGGTTGATTGAGTTGAACGAAAAGGTTGGTCATAAGGTCGTTAAAGTTGTTGAGGTTGTGAGATTTGAAGATCGAATTGGCTTGTCGCCGCAGATTGATTGTATCGACTCGACTGAAGGCTTCTCGGTTGTTGGTTTGTGGATCGGTTGGGTTGTTTCGACGATTTGAACGATTAACCACCATGTTGACGCTGCTAGCCCAAAAGTGACATTCGAGAAGAGAGAGTCGAAGTCGTGAACGAAGGCGACCCGGCTGGCACCCATTGGGGCCCTCAATGGGGCAGCCAGCAGTCGCAAGAGCATCGTTTAAATGGTGTGTGCAGGTGAAACCTTTTTTATTGTTCTTTTTTTTTTTTTTGTGATTTTGATGTTTGGATCTTTTTTGAAGGTTTCGTTTTTCCCGGTCAGAACAGTTATGCGTTTTTTGTTGTTGTTCTCCCGTCAGGCATCACAAGCAGTCAAGCAATGGTGGGTGGGACGTGGCATTGCCAATGCCAACGTCCCGAGGTATGTCAGGATCGCGGGGGGTTTGGCAGTGCCAGTGCCCAGAATGGACAATTTGCTGGGCTATCCTGGCGCCCCCCGGAAGTAAAAAAGACAATCTAGAAGTAGAAGGGGGCACCACCCGTCTGGAGGTGAGTGGGGGTGCTCCCCTGAGCCTCGTCGTTCACAGCGAGGTTCAACATGGCTGTGGCCTGAAAAATGGTCAGCAATTGCTGTCACAAAAGGTAGGGAGAAAATTGAAACTCACAATCCAGTTCATTGCCAAAGCCCCCTGAGTGAAACACTCGACCCTCTATAAATCCGTGAGTATGCAGACCATAAACCTCGATTGGATCCTAGGACAGGAACTTACCGTTTCTGGGAGGGGAGGGGCATCTGTCATAACCGCGTCTCTATCTTCTTCAGCCGGGGCCGTGATGGGCGCAACAAATGCGTCCCTCATCACAACGTCGCCATCCCGGGTGCGTGTGAAAGCGGCACGAAGCTGCTGTGCACGACGCCGGTTGTTGTTGTTGTTGCCCGGGTGTCTAGGCGCCTATTATTTTGTCAGCTTGATAGTCACGAAAAGTCGAACAGCAAAAAGCGTACCGCATTTTGCCGAGGCTGTGTGTTGTTGGGCGAATTGCCCTGCCGTCTGGGATTGTTCCCACGCTTGTGGGTGTTCGCCCCATTCGGATGATTAGAGGTATTAGGAGAACGACGAGGTTGCTGGTTGGGTCTCTGACCGCCAGCATTTCCTCCTCGCCGTCTGTTCCCACGAGGAGACTAGAGGAAGTCAGCTTGGTGCCTCAAATAGCAGGGCAAAAGGGGAAGTGATAGCTACATTTTGGTTGCGATTCACGCGACCCTAGAAGCCAGTTAGCAACGATTGGATATCACATAAGAGAGACAAACACTTACATGTCCATTGCGGTTGGTGTTACCGCCAAATTGTCCAGTTCCGTTCGGTTGGTGGCCATTGGAAGCAGAAGCTTGAAGAAACCGGGCCATGTCCCCACCGAAAGTATTGAATCCGTTGGTGTAGGAAGCCATTGGTTTTTTGGTCTTCCTCGGAAAAAATGTTATAAAAGAAGAACAGTCTCAAGAGAGTGAAGGTGATGCGGAAGTTATTGGCGGATACCACTGCTACCGGCACTGGTCGGTTGTGCTTACTCTCAAGAACGGATCCCTTTATTTCCTTCGTGAGTGAAAAAAGGTTAAAAAAAAGTTGCGAAACGATTTAAAGCAGATTTGTTTTGGCTCTTTGTTTGTTTTTGGAGTCCAAAAGTTTAGAAATTCAAACGCGATTTGAAAAGCAACGCTCCGATTTCAGCGCCTACTGAGAAATCAACGTATAGCAGTGGGTGCGTGAGGTGAAGGTCTGTGGTGTGGAAAAGTAATAAAGAGCTCTTGTGATGTTCTTTGGTTTCTTCGAGTTGGAATCTGAGTAGCCACTTGATACCTAATGGTAGCAAGTAACTGAGCACACGATTTGGGACTGAAGAAGAAAAGAAATCAGAGTGAGTCCCGCGGGAAATCGACGGGCTTCTTATAGACGAGGGGAGCTCGAAGAGATGGTGTAATACCTCGTCGAGACCGTGGTTCTCCATTGCAGTAGCCTTCCAGCGCCGATAGGCGCTCCAGAGCATTCTGTTTCTCAGAAATTGTGGTTGAGAAGGTGTGTTGTCACTTGATGCTGCAGAAGTCGATGATGTATACCCCAGATTGTATGTGTACCGCATTTCCTGTTCCTGAATTTCCCGGGGAATTAAGCTTATCAGCAACGGCTCCACCTAAAAATAGCGTGCCGACTTCCAATCACATTCGGATTCGCAACATCCACGCGATTGACTCACGCGCTTGGAGAATTTTTCCTCAGAGCTCTGGTTCCATTGTTCTACATCTTTGATGATTGGTTGCAGCTTGAAGGTTTTGTTCCGCGCATCATACTTTGAGAACGTCTTTCCTTGAAAAGTAAGGAAAACAACATACCAGCTCTGGGTTGTCCAATCGAATTCGTAGAATCAACTCGAGGTGCTTATCTCTGTCTTTTCGTTTCTGAATTTGATGATTCCTCAGCGCTGACCTCGTCCGAGAGACAGACAGCATTAGAAAATCCGGGTCATCCGGTAAAGCTCACAGAAACGAGTTGAGCAAGCTGTTATCAATCTTCTTGTTCCTGACCTTGTTGATTCGTCTTCTGTATACTGTTCTTTAAGAAAGACGGTCTCGACCAAAAAAAGAAGAAGAAAGAAAGAAAAGAGTGAGCATACCAGCTCTGTACCGTCCAATCGAACTCGCAGGAACATGCTCAACAAGCTTTTCTCCGTCTTTTCGTTCCCGACTTTAATCATTTTTCTTCTGTGTTCCATTCTTTGAGAAACGTCTTGGACTAAAAAGAAAGATAAGACAGAAGACCAAGTCAGGATCGTCCAATCGAACTCGCAGAATCGGCTCAGGAAGCTTTTCGCTGTCTTTTCTTCATTTCTGACGTCGATGACGTTTCGTCCAGAATCTCAGGGTCGCGCTTTCTCCCTCCAAATTTGCCACCTGCTGCCTGCGAAGGAGAATTGGGGGTCGCAGCGCTCCCCTCCTTTCCTGCACCACTAGTCTTGACCTTCTTCTTCCTAGGCCTCGAGACAACGCCAGGCGACGAAGCGGTGGCGCTCCCGTTCGACGCAAGACTATCCCTTTTCCTCTTTTCGGGCTTAGCATCTCTCTTCTTGCGTCGCTCCTCCTTGATCTTCAATCGCCGCTGGACTTCCTCTGAAATATCCTCCGTCTCTAACGAGACAGGCAACACATCTGCGACTTCCTGCTCGGCGCCGGGAATAGCCAGATCCAGCCGCTTGCGCTTCGAAGACCGAGAAATCGCCGCGTATGCCCGGTCCTCCTGCGCCTGCATCGGCTGGACCTCTGCCTGCATGACGTCCATGTCCTCGTTTACGTCCTCGTCCACTCGCGCCCGCTTGTGCGTATTTCCTCCCCTTCCTTTTTCTTTTGAGCCATTACGTCGCGATGAGTCGCTGGCGCTGTGACTATTGCCATTTCCCGCTGCCTCAGGCACGCCCCCAAAGGGATTCCGCGCTTCGTCCTCGTCAAATTCCTTCTCCCTCTCTGAATATCGGCCGAAATCGGGACCAGACTTACTATTCATCTGAAATAATCATCAGAACCAAGGAGAAATTATCACACGATGGGACTAAGAATGACTCACGAGCTGTTTCTTGATTACCCTGAATTGCATCACCAACTTATTCGTCTTTTCGACCATCGAGGAAATCAGTCGGAAGGAGTCCCCGTCGCCCGCGACTTGACTTTTCACGCCGTTCAGCATCTCCAGATGCGACGACAGGACGGACTCATGCTGAGCGCAAATCTTTTTTTCGAGTTTTGTCAGTCATTGGCCTGGTACGGTGCATTCGCTATAAGGGCTAGCACGCATTCATCCACCCACCTCCGACCATGAGAATAGCTTGCGCTGTGCATAAAAATTTCGCGGTTGAGGATTCCCATTTGCTTCATCGTTAACTTCTTCAACAGATGGGTTTAAAGGGTGCTGGGAATTGCTTGATGGCATTTTGGATAGTCCTTCAATTTTGACCCTGCGTTGAAATAAAGCCCGCAAATCCTTCGATGATCGACAAAGCTGTCAAAAAGAGCCGAGGGCTCCGCGCCAAGACTCCGCTACTGCCCGCCATTCACTTTAGCGCTTGATAGTGCCAGATGTGGAGACGTCCTGCGAACCATTTTGCCTGCAGAATTTTGGAGTATCTATTGTTATTGTCTACCTATACCAACTATTCACTGTTGCATTGATCTCAACTAACCAGTGTATATTGACCATAAGACTGATATATTGTTTCCATTTTCGAGTTCTCAACATGTTAACGCCAGAAATATGTGCTGTACTATAGTGATATCTTGACCTTCTGTGACCATATGAATCGTACATAATCAGATGAAAGTCTCATCTTCGCCAATACGCCAGTTCAAAACATCAATCATGCTTAGACGCAGCCCAATAGTCATACAGACAGTCACCCCCAGCATCCAAATCCAAGCCAACTACCATGCACCAGGGTCAAAATCGAACCGAGAAAGTTCTTTCTGCGCATCTTCGACATCCTTCTTTGCCTTCATTCGCATGTAGAAGATCGGACAGTCTCGTGATGAGCAAATTACCTCGCAGTGCAAGCTACCCTGACAACGCTGGCATTGAGTCCAGAGCCGTCCGAATCGGACCTCTAGGTCCGATACTTTGGTCAATGTTTTTGTGTAAAGCTCGCCGATTCGAGGGCGACAATGTGCGCAAACAGCGCCAGCCATTTCTTCTTTACCTGAAAGAGGCTTCTTGCAACCCATACATGTTTGGGTCTTCTTCGCAAACTTCATCAGACCTCCCAAGGTAGGCGCCGCGACCGAGATGGACCGAGTGTGTTCACCAGTCAAAAGCTGATTGGCCTTCTTCTCACCAAGTATGGGTTCGAAAATACGACCCAGAGGGTTCGCCAGTTGGTTGTCAAGGTAATATTTCGTGTCGATTGGAATGTTGTTCTCCAGAACATATATAGGATCTTCAGACTTCTCGTAATTCTTCGAGCCTCCAGCGCCTTTTACAATGACATAAGCCACACGATCACCGAGAGTTGGCGCAGAGCCTGCGTCACGCTTTCGCATCCGCTCCGCGAGCTCAACGTGTGCCTGCTTGGCTGTGTAGTCTGCTTTGGAGAGCGCTTTGGTAATCACAAGCTTTGACATGTCAATCTTGTTCTGCAGAAGATCTGAGATGGTTTCCTTGACGTAACTGCGAAGCAAGTCAGCGAAGAGCACAACAGGGCGGGATAAGCCATCACTTACTCCTGGGCGCCATCGATGTCTCTGTCAATCAAAATCTTGTGCAGCACCGTCTCGATAACATTCTGAACCAACAGGCAGTTATCTCTACGAACGGTTTCAATACCCTTTGTATCCATTTTATCGAACTTCTTCGGATTGGTCCAGTACAGCCCGGCGTATCTCTTCTTGTTGATCAGGAGGTAGGGGAAGTAAACCTTCTCAAACTCGAGTTTAATGGGCTTGAGAAACTTGGAAGAAACAAAATCGGCTGCCTCCTGTCCGAGTTTCATGGCCTCTTCCAGTTCAGTCACACCAAATTTGACCATGACTGAGTCGGTATCTCCGTAAATGACCTTTGCATCATGGGAGTAACCATTAGCGATAGTGTATCGGGCTTCTACCTCCTGCTTGGTCTTCTCAATCATTTGACGTCCATAACTGGTGGTACTACTCGCAATGGGGAGACAGGGCAATTTTCCGACTGTGGCACCAGTGAGACCGTACACACTGTTGGCGCTGATCTTCAAAGCAAGCTGTCTTCCGTTCAACACTGCTTTCTTGAAGGGGTCCGTTTCGACGGCCAGCTCTTTTTTCGCACGTTTTCTAGCGGCCAGCAATTCTTCCAGAATTTGCGACAGGAGACCTTTGCGCACTTTGGTTGTGCAGAACATGTCGCCGTTCGGAGTCACAATATAGTCTTCATCTTTTTTAAGCTTCAGTTTCTCAACACTGTTCTTGTTTAGTAGAGTCGTGTAGCATAGATTATGTGCTTGGATGATCGAAGGATATAGAGATGCGAAGTCAAGGGTCGCAATCGGAACACCGTAGTACCCGCGAATCGGTTCAATGACGGTAGCACCTTCGTAGTCTTGTTCATCTGTCGACTTGATATTCGGGATGACAAGCTGTTGCTCAAGGGCTTTGCGAAATAGTTGACTCAGGAACTTGACTTGCTGACCGCGAGAGAGGAGAAAGTTGAATGGTACACCTGTGACTCTCGCCATCTCAGTGTAATTAACCAAGCACATCAGCTTGTCCATCAGCCGCTGTGGCAAGTAAGCATCCTTCAGACAATAGACGGCCAATCGCCGCCTCGAGTCGGGAGTTCCATTGTACAACTCCGTGATCATTGTATGGTGGACATCCTCTTTCTGCTCCTTAAGGAACTCGTAAGATACGGAGTTCAGCGTGTAACTTCGCAGATGATAGTCTCTCTGGACCAACTGGAGAAGATCGAGCTGAATTCTTCCGTTAGTGTTCGTTGCCTTCGTGTCTCGGTTACCCATCTGCTTGCTGGAAAAGCTTGTCGACGTAGCCTGCGATGCCACGCCCTTGAGTCGGGTCCAGTATGGGAATCCGGTACATTTGAGATGCTTTGCCCGGTCCAGGAGATATGGAAAATCGAAGTTGGCGATATTGTATCCGATGATCACATCGGGATCGACCTTCTCAAGGAAATCGCGCCAAGCCATAAGCATTTTCTCCTCTTTGTCGAATTCCAAAATCTGCGTGTTCACAATCAAACTACACGTATCCAGAACGAAAACGTTCCGAATGAAGGGTTTTGATTCTCCATAGCGGGTGACAACGTTTGCTATCTGAATGACGGGGTCATGGTTCGGCTCCGGAAAGATGCCTTTGCGTCCGGCGCACTCGATATCAAAAGACAGAATGCGAAGGGGTGCCATTTTAGCCCATTCGCCATTGGGCGGGTGAGAGATCAAGTCGCGATAATCGATGACCGCTTCAATCTGACAGTTTGATAATTTCTCCCGAGGGCTGAGCAGCCGGTATTTTCCCGCCTTTGCCTCCACCCACGACATACCAGCAATGTCCGTGTCAATCATGAACCTGAGAAGATACTGGATATTGTCGAAGGTAAGAATACCAGCATCGGCGCTACTCCACAAGCCCTTGTAATTCAAACCCTGCGGATTGTTCTCCAGTGCACTCCGGACCTTGCTGATGAACTTCGGTTCCGTGACTGTGATCTTCAAATAATAACTCTTCTGGTTTCCCTGAAATCCATAGATGTTCTCCCTCATTGTTATTTGAACCGACTGAATGACTGGTTGAAACTGTCCAAGTTTGCTCTCGAGAAAGGCACGATAGGGATCGCAATCTTCCTTGGTAAAGTTCACCGGCGCGGCGATGTAGAGGTAGTGCTGAAAGCCGGTGACATGGAGCAAAACAGATTGCCCGACCTGCATCAGGACCATTAGCAAACCAAGCGGACTGGCTCTGAGAGAACAAATCTACCTCTGTAACACCGAAAAGTCTGACAGCTGTCTTTCCGCCGGTAATCGTTCCCTCTTCCGCATCAATCTGCTGGAAGCAGATATTCTCTCTAGTCTCGTCAAAGTCACCCAAAGGCGGCCGTTCCCATTGCTGGTCCTTTTCCGAGTTGCTATCTTTCAGACCGTTGATGTCCTGTGTCAACTTTTCCAAGACTTCCTCTTCGAACTGGCTCTTCTGGGGCTGACTTGAACCGAAAGATTTCCGCTGCCCATTCTGCGGTAATGAATTAACCCTGGCAGAGGGTTGCGCATCGAGCTTTCGTTTCTTCACTGTGCCGGGGGAGTTCAGTACACCGCGAGGATTATTCGTTGCATCACCCAGAACCCGCTTCTGGGGCATTGCGACGGCTTCAGGCATAGTGACGGATCATATAGCGAAGCCTCTTGGTGCTGCTGATAGGGAGAAGGACCCTCAAGACGAGGCGGAATCAGAGATCGAAGCGTTTTAGAAAGTCACATAGACGGAGATGTTATCGGCGGGCAATGCGCTCCCGATTTGGGAAGTCGTGTCCTGGTCGCGCCTCGAACGTGACGCTCTTTACGCGTTGACCGAATCACGTGATCTGACGTCGCGCCTCCTACTTCCTACGCAGATGTGCGGAGATCATGTGACTATAAATTGCCTGTGTAGGAGCTAGGTGTCTATTTTTATTTTTTGGTTTCTCCCAATGGCTTGCCGTACAACGGCCAAGGGTGATCGAGGCCTCAAGGCCGGGCTTAGCCCGTCACACCAAGCATTCCAATGATTGATTATATAGATGCATGAAAAGATATTCTAAATTTTCATCCAACCAAATTACGGCTTCACCGTCATGCCAAGCTGGGCCACATTCGTTTCCAGCACTCCATTCTTCCATGTCAGGGTGATGCTGTGCTCTCGTCAGTGAACCACACAATGCTTGATGCCCCATGTACCCCATGCCTGGCGGCCGAATCCATGGTCTTCGTACCTATTCATACTGTTCATGCCATCTTTGAAAAAGTACATCTTCGCCCCCGTGCTCAGCAAGTCCTGCGTCAGTGGACCCACCATCTGGTCGATTCCGCTTGTCTCGTACACTGAGGTTGTGATAATGATGGGCTTGGTGCCTCGATTGCGGCAACCCCAAAGAAGCGCCTTCATGATCCTCAAGCTTGGAAGCCTGTTGCCCTCACAGTCAGTATCCATGGCATTCCAAGAGATGTTAACGTGCACTGAGAATGAAATACCCATGAGTCGAAAACCGAGACGATATCAAGTACACGTCTGCGGTATACTGATAATAGAATTCCTGGGATTCGCTGTGCTTGCTGCCATGATGCGGGACTTTCATGATCGAGAAATGCTGGGGCGCGGTCAGATCTCCCCGGATGTCTCGGTGTAGAATCGTGTCATGCGCGTCTCCTGTGAATAGTCCCGTGAACGCATCGGTGCTGTTTTTCGTGCTGAATACGGTGACGGTGGAGACACGGTTTGCCTGCACGCCCCGGGCGCCGGACTGGCGCATTGCGGTGATATTGGCTATTGAGGGGCCGTAAAAAGTCGTGTTCAGCGCGGGGAAGAGGTCGAATTGGTTGATGCTTGGCTGCGGGATGGCTTCGCCGTTGCCCCAGGGGGCTAGGAGAGTGATCGCGGGTCGGTTGTTGACAACATGAAGGGTGTTCCATTGGGCAAGGAGGTCGTAAAGCCGACGCCCTTGTCTTTTGCTGTGATCGATCAACCGAGCGCTAGGGGGTACGGGGTTAAGCGCGAGGGGCTGATTGGATTCAGCCGGTGGGACGGGTTTGGCGGGAGAAATGGCAAGACGGGATAGAGCGAGCACTGGCGGTGCTAGGGGGTTGAGGTTTGGCAGAAGATCTGTTATGTTGCCGTCGGGGTCGTTGAACAGGAAGTTGGACATGTTAAGGCAATGCGCCTGGTCGGCCACCATCTCGATGAGTCCTGCAAAAGGTGCTAAGTGGCATTCGTATAAAATAATATGGAAGAACCTACCTGAAACATGATCCGAATCGTAGTGGGTGCATTGCACAGCATCCAACACATCAATATTTAGGGCTGTCAGCACATCGTGCAGGCGTGCCCAGGTTCCCGCCACACCTCCGTCCACCAGCATTGTCTTGGCCACAGCGGCATTTCCTTGCTGGTCGCTGATGACATAGCAATCTCCCTTGCCGGCTTGGATCATGGTGATGTTCGTGATATGGGTTGCAACCACAGCCACCTTGGCCCTCTTGACGTTATTATTGTTATCTTGGGCCTGGGCGAGCTTTCTCTTGCTCCGGGTGACCACCATCGGAGCAGGCACAGCGCCTCCAACCACTTCAGCCTCTTCAGGCGGACGATCTTTGAGCGAAATTGTCAGCTTCTGTGGGGTTGTATTATGTGTCTGGTTCCCTTCCCGTAGAAAGATCATCCTCTCAGGTTCGAAATCGAGCATTTTTGACGAGTCGGGGTCATCGTCTTTATCGGTGACGTCTGAAAATGAGACTATGACGGGGTCCGTAGAGGGGTCCAGAATTGCATAGAAGGAGACGTCAAGGGTGATTTTGTCGTCTTCCACGTCCATAGAGAGGCTGACACTGTCGGGATCCATGATCAACCGCTGTTCGCGAGGGTCGAGGTTCACTTTGGCCGCCCCGGCACGAGCTCCAAGACTCGTCCAGACATATAGGTACGGTCGCTGTTTTGTTGTAGGTGGTTTAACACAGGTAATGGCCACAGGCTGAGGGCTGCTGTCACCCTCCGGGAAGACCAATATGTTGCCGGATACCAAGATGGATAATGGATCTGAGGGCTCGATAAACACCGAAACTGACCCGTTGGTAGAAGGAGGAACGAGAGCGACGTAGATGGTCTGGGACGCTCCTCCAACGCGCAAGGGAACAGGATCACTGTTGCTCAGGATAATGGGAGCCCCGTCAAAGGTCACCAGGAGTGCAGCAGGAAGCTGGGGCGTCTTCTTCTTCTCGTATTCCTCTAATGCGTCGAGGAGGGCGCGGATTGCAAAGTAAATGCGGCCCAAAGTAATGACAACGTTGGCTGCGATGATCACCTCTCCGACTCCTGGAACCACTTGCGCCATCATCCACAGTCTGGATTTCCACGACAAGGCAGGGAGAGACCGAAGCAAGCTGAGTAGAAGGCCCTGTCTGGCGATTTCAAAAAGAAGCGCAATAATTTGATGAGAGACGTCCACAGCGCTGCTGGTATCAATCTCGCTGGCGACCAGGGGGCGGTTCAGCGCAGGTCTGGACATCAAACTCTCGGTAAGGACTGATGGCTCTGTGGCCGGCGGATCGCTCTGCGGTAGATTCTGGAATAGAGTGACGAGACCGGTGATGATCAGCCGGATCGACTCGGTCTCCCAAAGCAAGATGACAACCTCTCGTATTTCTTCGCCCTCTAAGTCAATTGCAAGAACAGCCTCGAGGATTATGCAAATGAGCTGGAGGACAAAGTTGATCCATATCAACGCAAGCTCGGGGTCGATCTCCACTTCTACTGCTGGTCGGATGGGTAACCCTAAGGCGTTCACTGGAGGTGTTGGTCTGAGCATCAGGTCAGACACCCGAGGTGGAAGCGGTTTATATCCCGGTTGCTGGTACGCTGCAATTGTCAGGAGCTGTGGTGGGCTCGCCTCAACGAGAGGTCTGCTGTACGTAATGATTTCTGCATTGCCAGATAGGGTGGGAGAAGAAACATTATCTGCATCCGCTTCGAACGTCCAGTTGGCAGTCAGGCCTGGTGCATCAACTGCGGGAGAGCCGTACATCAGTACCCGGATCTCCATCTCCCCGCGGCAGACATTCCACAGGCGAATATCATCCATGTAGCCAACGAAGCAGTTGACGGGTATAGCATCAGGCTCTGCGTCTTGGCAGAACGCGCCGATGACGAAATCCGTACTTTCATTGTCTACCGAGGTTGAAATATCCAAAGAAAGAGTAGAGTCCAAGGCCCCGTCGATATAGAGCGAGAGCGTGGCTATTGGCCAGGTCAGTGAGAACACCCGAGAAAAGAGGGAATGAAAATCCTACGAGGATCAGCTGCTGGGTCAAACGTTGTAGCAACGTGCGTCCAGTGCGAATTAATCTCATCCACTGCAATCTGTCCCTTGGATCTCAAGACAGCATTGCCCCATACTGATATGATATATTGTCCCTGCATCTGTAGGCCATATCCTTGAGAGAGAGAATAAAACTCGCCCGCTATCACAACGGTATTTGTCGGAATCGCCATGGGGGCAATCCATGCCTCGAGCGTGTAGCCACTTTGACCTGTTTGGTGCAGAATTCCGTCCTTTCCCACCAAGACGCACCCACCCTCGGTAATAACCAAGCCATTACTCTCAATGTAGATGCTGACTTCTGGCGGAAGCTGAAAGCCTTTCAACTCAGGTGCTTTGGGCGCATTGATGACGGGCGTCATTGAGGTGAATTCAATACTCGCAATGAGGTCTGGCGGACTGCCAACCGGAGTGAACATGGCACTACGCACTGCGTCGACCGTCAAAGCAGTGTTCCAAAATGTCACATTTCTGATCCGCCCTGCAAAACTTGGTGAACCAAGCACTGGGAACCCACTGCCAGGCAATAATCTTGAATATGTAGCAGTTGTTTCTTCTTGAAAGGTCCCGTCAACAGCCAGCTGAATCGCAAAGCCGGTCCAGATGAACGTAATGTAGTGCCACTCTGCAACCTGGAGGCCGACCTCTCTTTGATAGACTGCATTCCTAGTCTGGGAGTCGGTCTCCGTGTCGTTGACATCCTGGACCTGAGCGCACAGTGCCCCGTCGCCCCGAATGCTCAACGAGTATCCTTGTTCCATCGAGATGATTGTGTGCAGGCTGCCTTCGGTGTTGTCGATATCGTTCTCCTCATAGTACGTGGAAGTATGATACACCCATAGGGAGATGGTAAAAGGGTCACCAAGAGGGCTCAGGTACGCTGACTTGGGCAAGGTGATGGTCTGGGTGAGCAGCGCAATACCGGTCACTTGAGACGGGGGAAGGTGTAAGTCCACCATTGGTCGATCTCGACCCTCCAACACGAGACTGGTGACCTGGAGCTGCTCTGTTCTCTCTGACTTGGTCTCAAAAGAAAGCTCAATCAACCAGTCCGTGCTTGGAATGCTTCGAGTGCGGCCATCACCAAATGTGAATGGATTGGAAACAGTAAAGTCTTCGTACCAGTTGTTATCTGCTGCATATGTCTTACTGGATAACGGAAGTCTAATGGATTGCACCTTTTTGCGATTGTTGAGATCAGTCGCTTTGAGCACGAGGGCATCGCCAGCTGCAAGCCAGGATTCATGAAGCATCGTCATGCTCACACTGAAGTCTCGCGCACTGTCTGCATCGAGGATTGCGGCGCCGTGGGTGAAAAGCTCCCGAAAGCGGCCCACCTCAACTGAGCTACCATCCGCAGGAACAGTTATGGTTGGAACTCCGAGCTTGAGGGATCGATTGATACTTTTAATAGAACGGAGAGCCGGACTGCTCGTTGAGGTACGTCGCTCGTGTACCTCCAGGGCCAAATCATAGATCCAGCAAGCGGTTGGCTCATAGGTCTTTTCCGTAAAGCAGCTGAGTTTGATGATGCTCTCACTCAGGTCTAGATCAGCCGGTGGTTGCCAGTCCTGCTGGCTACCGCTAAGCACGGTTCTCTGTTGGACGACAATGCTGTCAAAGCCTTGGAGTGTCCAGGAGGTGACAAATGTATCGTTAGATTGATGGAGATCGACCTTGACAATAGTTTGCGCTGTTTTCGTGGCAATCATACCGCGCATCCTGAATACGCGAGCCGTGTCAGATCCAGCAGCTGGAAAGACAGAAGGGTCTGCCATAGAACTGAAATCGTGCAGGTAGAGGCTGTTGCTAGGCGTAGCCGAATCAACGAGGAGGGGCATGGCGTTTGGCCCACGACACAGGAGTCGAGTCCAGAGCTCATCTGGTTAGCCTTGTGAACAATCAAACTGTAAGTATTACCCACCAGGGAACTGTCATGAATGATGGCAACTGAGCTGGTCACCTGAGGAGATGTGAAATCCCAACACTCGAGAACGAGTTCATAAAGCACAGCACTCAGATTCAAATTGCTTGATGCGTTTGTATATCGGGCTGCCACCACTGCTGAAGCATCTAACAGGTCTTGAAGATCCGTCACTGATCCTTGTCCAACTGTAAACCAGGAAGTGACGGAGCTGTAGGCCATGGTATCAATGGTTGAGGCCCTTGGAACTGATAAAATTTCCGGCGTCAAGCGACTCAAACTAGGTGACGAAGAAAGCTGATGGCCAGGCATCAACTTGAATTGAAGCTCCGGCTTTTGAAGTCCTGGAACCGAGTCGCTGTACGAACATCGTAATCGGTACTTTCGATATGAGCCTTGGTTGGGAGGGTTGTCGGTGGTTGTGCGCAGCAAGCAGGCTACTTCTGGTTCCAGGTTGGTCCATTCATCACTTATTTCAAGAACCATTTGTTGCGGAACTGCCGAATCAGTAGGAGGGAAAATCCGTCTGCTTGCAATAAACATTGTGATTCTAAGCGGTGGAATGCAATCACATTATCCTAGTGCATTGCAAGTCATGCATCGTAGGTGGTATGATGAGAGAAGACATTGGACAGACAAACTGACGCAACCGCTTCACGTTGAACTGACGCAACTGCTTCACGTTGAACTGACGCAATCCCTTCCTCAACCTACAACTTAGATGAAGCTGTAAGAGCTTCAATCAAGCTTCAAAGATCGAGGTAGTGAGACAATCAAGATGGAAATTACTCCTGATGCCAACAATGCCTCAGTCTTCAACTGCTACGATGGCATCGTGCCAACTAGCGTACCAGAGCAATGGAATTATCAAATATTTTATTACGACCCAACGCAGCCATCGAGTCCGGTTGGAAGCTACCTCTCAACTAAAGACTCACCAGATTGTTCAGTTGTCCTAGTGGACAACAGCACCGCAACCGACGAGTGGAGAGCGAGATTCTCCTTCCGGATGAGTACACCACCATACGCATTCTTATATGGCCATGCAGTCCGAGCGAGTCAAGAAGGGATAGTGGCTGAACAATCCGAAAGTTGGGGAAGTACTCTCGCCTGTTACGCTCAGGACGACTTATCAAACTTGCTCCTTGGTGCAATCTTTGTTGGAGTCTACCCTCGCGAAGAAGGGGCTTCATTGCCTGATGGAAAGGTTGAAATTGTTTTCCAATCCGGCGCTCAGGGCAGGTATTTCATGGCTAAGGGAGTTGCTATCGCTCCCTCTACAGTGATCTTGAGGGGTGGGGATGTCCCACTGTCTCAGCGCGTTTGGCAACTACAGCGAAGGGACTGGATTGGGGATGTATCCCAGACGTGTATCGTGAATGATTTGAATAGCCCAGTTTCCGGATACGCAATGGCCAAAATGAATGGCATAATTGGCTACTACTTCCTCACGCCCACGGGTATTATGCCTGTTTCACAGGGAAGACTGGGTCCAGATCATTCCACATGGCAAGATGAGGTCGCGATTGCAGGAAATGCCAACGGTCTCTTCTCCCTAACCAATACGGGAGATGTTTATCTATATTCCAAGTCCCTATCAGAGCGCGAGCCTTGCAATATTTTGCCGGACTATAAGTTCTTGGACGTCAGTTGCACAAGTATGGATTCTTATGTCTATGCTATCCAGACAGACCACACTGTGTGGAGATATGATACGGCTCATCAGCCCGGCACCTGGGAGCCAGTTTGGCAAGGAACCGATTTCAAAGCAGCAGTTCTGATGGCGTCAGATGCTGCGGTCTTTGCCATCGCACATCCGACATGTCCACCCCGATATGGTCCATCTGGGGCTGTTTTCAGCCTCTTAGATGGGCCTAGTCCTGTGCTCATTGGCAGTGATCAATTACACATCAATCAGTTAAAGATTGCCAGCAATTTTCTGATTGGATTGGCATCAGGTGACAACAAGATGTATGTCTGGAATGGGGTCCCTGGCTCCTGGACCGATCTTTCCACCGCGCCTCTCCGGCCATGGGGCGGAGTCCGAGACGTGGTTGACGGCAGCAGTCTAGGAATAGTTGCTTTGTCAGGGGACCAGCGTGAGATTGTTCAGTTAGATCTGCATGAGCGGAGGTGGAATTTCTTGGGTGCCCTGACTGACGAATGGCGCCTAGATGAGGGTAAATTGACTCTGTGCGCACTTGTTGACGGTGTTGGGATATTTGGCATTTGGAATGGACGCGTGATTTTCATTCACCTGTCTGGAGGTGTGCAATAAACAACCTTGGAGAACAGCCAAAAGAGCGCACAGATAGAGTATTCACCCACAATGTCCATCGAAAAAGCTGTGGTGCTACATATTCTGGGGCCATGGGGGTTGATTGCATAGGATATCTAGGGAATCTAGGTACATCATGATCTATGAATGTTCGACGGTTTGAATTCAACGTGCAGACTCCATCGCGAAATACTCCTCTACTGCAATCACCGGTTCTCATGAGTCTTGTAAATGCTGTTATACCCTGCCAGCGACTCCTCCTTCAAAGCTTCCATCTCCTTACCTTGGAACCGGTTCGGATCCAGTGCTTTCTTCAGCGACTCGTCAACTTCTTCACCTTGAATCATCTTAGTCAAAAATTTGGCTGAGCCGGCCGCATGAGTGACCCATACAGCCGCCGCAACATAAAGACCTTTGGTTGACGAGATGGGGCCGACCAAAGGCAGATTGTCCGGAGTCATGGAGAAAAGACCATTGAATTTTTCCTTAATGGTCAGATTCGTTTCAGCAGGGATCAAACTGCGAGCTCGCTCCAGTATTGCGTCGAATGCATCGACCCAGTCGCCAACTGCAGTCTCATTGGGCTTATGATAGAGCGGCTTATGATCATACGAGCCAAGTCCATAAGCTGTGCCATGATCACGGGCGTACACATGGAATTCAGGCCATCGAACAAACGGTGACTTGCGCGGATTTGGCTCTCGCTGTTCGCCATACATGTATGGATGCGCAACAGGAATGACCGGAATCGGCACACCAAAGTTACAGAGATTCTCTGACCAGATACCAGTAGCGATAACCACCTTTTCTGCTTTGACCAGTCCAGATGTAGTCAGGACACCCTTTGCACAGCCATCTTCCTGAATGATCTCCTTGACATCGGTTTCCAGGAAATGAACGCCGTTTCCACGCGCCTGGTCTTGGAAAAATGATGTGATTCTAACTGCATTTGCAGCCCCATCGCTTGCGAAGTGCAATGCAGTCAAGATGTCGTTCTTGACAAGATCAGGAGCCAGTTTAGTTGCCTGCTCGGGAGACAGCAGTTCGGCAGGCAGGCCAGCCTTCTTCGCCATGTCGTATCTGACCTTCAACCTTTCGACGCCCTCGGGTCCGGTAGCAACTTCAAGCCCTCCAATGCTCTCGAAGCCACCAGGAATCTTCCTGTATTCACTGACGGTGTCTATTGCAAGGCGTGTGAGGGCCTCTGACTCGTTGTATTGACCAATGAATCCAGGCGCATAGCCAGTTGAACCTTTCAACTGAGAGAATGAACGATCAATGAGGACGACTTCTTTCCCATTCTCCAGTGATCCTGACAAAAAGTAAGCCAGAGATGACCCGACAATACCACCGCCGACAATAGCAATTTTGAATGATGCGTCCGAGGTATCCATCTTTGCTTAGGTTTTTCAAGGCTTAAGGGATAAATGTTATTTTCTGTATCATCTACAGGCTATCTACAAGGGGTTTACCTCCTTATATGTTCAATTATGGTGGGGTTGGATACAGTAGTGTCTTGGATACGAGCTTTATATAGAACGGGTTCGACGCCGACAACGGTGACGACAAACCGGGGGTACCCGCAAATAAGCGAGTGTTTCCGACTAAAAGAGCGAGAGTTAGTCCAGAATATTTTGATCCTGATAGCAGCTTCGATAAGTCGGATTGATAAAATGTGTCATCAGGAATGGCCTGATGAATGTTATTACTATAGTTGATCAGAGCCATCGTGGATGGCATTGAGGTGGCCTGGCGGCCTGAGGCAGAAAGTGCGTCATCGAATTTGACTCAGAAGTCCGAAATTCGGCCAAGAAAGAGGACGCGTCTTCTTCGATGTCAACGGCTCGAACTTCTGCGAAGCGATACATGCATTTAGTGGGATAATAGTGGCTCATTGAATGCGAGCTTGATGTGTTGGATGCTTAGACGAAGGTTCGATCCATTGGTGTCAAATTCACGCGCCCTTTCTCTGGCATCTGGCTTTAGAATCTGATGGAAGCCTGTGAGAATTGACAGCCTGGTCAAAAGCCATTCCGAAAAGAGGACAATGTTTATCACATATTTCACTATCTCAAACTGAACCCGGGACCATAGCTTTGGAGACGGCCATTGAATGACCTTAAATTGAGCTTTCTCACTCTGTCCACCCATTGGCGTTGAGTAAACATTCCCAACGTCTGTTGCCGCGAGTCATTGATTATACGTGATAATCATTTCGTGCCTACTCTCAAAATCGAGGATCTCTGCTATACTGCTGCTCTGCCTATTGACTCACTGCTGCATGAGGCAGGTCACCTGTGCTGGCATGGCTCCTCTGTGGCCGTGAATTCACCTCCTTGGCCCTGCGACTCATTGCATCCCTCAACATGTCTATGTTCAGGCCAGCTTCAGAAATCTCGTCCTCCTCGGACTCTCAATCCAGCTCCGACGAAAGCGACCATAAATTACTTTCAACAGCCGCCTCAAGAGAGACCCGGGGTAAATCTTTATCTGGGAATGGTGCACAGACTGCATCCCTGGACAGGGGGCCTGACACTGAAAGCATCTCTGAAGCCTCAATGGATGTCCTTGATGTTGAAACCCAAGGTCATGCAGCATGGATGACCTCCGCCTTGCTCGAATTCTACTGCCTCAGCAAAGCAACGGACATCCTCAATGCCAGGGAAGGTTCTCAGATGCGATACACTCGCGACTCTCCAGAAGTACAGTATCTAGGCAAGAAGATATATGCCCATCAATCACAGCTGCTATCCACACATGGAATGTTACCTGGAGGCCTTGAGAGTGACGAATGGGAAGAAAGAAGGCAGAACTATCGCGAAACTCTTGATGGAATTGGCCTGCAGGCCCTCAAAGGACTAAACTTAGATGATATCCCTAAGCAGGCGCGGTCTCTTGGCACCACAGGAGACGTCGTCTTGGCTTCCAAAGCCTCAAACCGGATGCATGTTCATGTAGAGACTGATTTTGCAAGACCTTCGCAAATGAGGCGTCAATACAGCGGACTCTTGGGATTCAGAGAGCAAGTTGCGGTGAGAAACGACATCCATGCGCCGGAACATCAGCCGTTCGCCCTCTTGGGAAGTTCGCCTGTGAGCTTCCCGCTATTCAGACCCAATCCGCCCCCACCAACTCCAGCTATATCTCGTTACGCGACGGAATTTTCAGAAGTAAGAGTCCTTGGCCGCGGATCATTTGGCGAAGTCTATCATGTGAAAAATCATATTGATGGGCAGAACTACGCAATTAAAAAGATTCCATTGAGTCAGAGGCGGCTTCAGCAGTTGCAAGGCGGCAATCAAAATCAACTTGAAACTATCATGAAAGAGATACGAACGCTTGCTCGACTCGAGCATACCAATGTTGTCCGATACTATGGTGCATGGGTGGAACAGGCCCATATATCTGACCTTCTTCACTCAAGGAATATGAGTGCAATGGAGTTCCAGCACGAGCAGACCCATAGCGTGCTTGTGACTCAAGAATCGAACGACGAGCAGAGTTTTGGAGTCGTGTTTGAACATTCGGAAAGTTCTGCAGTTGAGGCACGCTCAATTTCTACGTCTGCTGAGTCCGAAGCCGATGCTCCTCATCATTCGCGACGTCGCTATAGTCATGCTACGTCGTCGTCGCGTCGCTCAAAGAATAGCCTAGCGCGGAGTCTTGAAGACGATGAGGAGATCGAGTCGATCCCTCGCGATTTCAATTTTGCGTCTCATGGTCAGCTGTCGACGTTCGGAGGCACCGATGATGATATCTTCACTGACGGGCTGAGTCACGATCCGTCCAAGCTGCAGGTCCAACGAAGGCGTCAAAACGGATCTCAGCTTCCTGCTGTTGTTCTCCACATTCAAATGTCCCTGCATCCTATCTCACTGAACTCTTATCTTAGTCCTCGCTCTTTGGGACACGCAGAAAATAACCATGCGCCCCCACGCCGTCACTGCTTCCATTTGATACCGTCGTTGAGATTAATGCTACGCATAATTTCTGGTGTGGAATATCTCCACGCCAAAGGCATAATTCATCGTGACCTGAAGCCGGCAAATATTTTCCTCTCATCGTCTGATAATGGCAACCTCGACGGGTGCCCTTCCTGCATGGCGAATTACGGGTCAACATCTGATTACTGTCACCCCAGGATAGGAGACTTTGGTCTTGTCGCAGATGTTTCGCATCTCAACGACTGTCCTTCCCCCGCTTTTGAGGAGGGTCCAAAACTCCAGCGTGTCGTTGGAACGGAGTTCTACCGCCCACCCTTGAGCACTAATGGGGCGAAGGACTCTAACGGCATGTTCCGGACCGGAAATCATCAATTCAGTTACATAATCGACGAGACCCTTGATGTTTACGCTCTTGGAGTTATACTTTTTGAGCTTCTTTATCGTCTGAACACTAAGATGGAACGCCAAATGGTTCTGACCGACTTGACAAAAGGCACGAATCGTCAATCGCCGGCCAGGAGTTGCATTAGAAACACTGTATTCCCGGCAGACTTTGCACAGAAACTCGACTTGGGGCCGATGGTGCTAGAGGATGGTGTGTCTGTGGCCGACTCGTTGATGAGGTGTATCAGCGGCATATTAGAGCCCAATGCTCATCGACGCTGGCGCTGTGCGGATATTAAGAGAGCTCTGGAGAAGATTCTGGATGCTGCTGTCGTGCAGGATTTTTCCTGTTGTTGATGTTATTGATGAACATTGGTTCGAGCTGAAAATCTTTATACCAGCACTATTCTCGGGCCTACAGCCGCCTCAATGTAAGGAGGAAAGCAATAGAAGGTGAACATACTAAGATTATAAACCCTTTGTATTACATACATATCTTTGAGTCCCTCTGAGGAGTCTGGACTAATGCTACAACTCGTCTCTTCTTATCTTTAACTGGATTCAAGCCCATGACAAACATGAAAACTGAAGACATATGAATTGCATTAAGTGTGAACAGGAGAAACATCCATTGTCCTATGACAACATAGGCGGCTTTCGGCCCTCGGTTTCATGGGTCTATCACCATCTTCCCCGCATAATGCAGGGATCCCCCACAATACCCGCATAATATGTAGCATTATCTACATAAAAGGATAAGATAAAGCTACATCAACCTCAGTTCAATCCGGAGTCAGCATCGCTTCCTCTCTCTCTTCTCTCCATATACCTGTATCCCAATTGTCAGAAAATATGCCTCGTACAGATCGCCCCCCAACAGCTCCCTACAGCGAACCCCTTCTTCCCCAACTAGATATCGAAAACCCCTACTACACAGATCTCCATCACGAACTCCGCGCCTACGTCCGCAATTACGTAGAAGCATCCATCGCCCCTCACGCCCAAGAATGGGAAACAGCGGGTCAAGTCCCCGGGGAAGTCCGACGACGCCATTGCGAGCTGGGCTTCGGAATCGTCCATCCTCTAACCTCCGAAGAAGACGCGGCTGGTATTTCATTGCCTGGCAACGTCCCCCGTGATAAATGGGATACGTGGTGCAGCCTCATTGTGACGGATGAGCTTACTCGGGTCGGATTTGTGGGTGTTATATGGGGACTTGGTGGTGGAAATAGTATCGGGTGTCCGCCTATCGCCAGGTTTGGGACACCGGAGCAGCGGCGGAGGTGGTTGCCCAAGGTTGCGAGGGGGGATATCAGGTTTTGTTTGGGGATTACGGAACCTGATGGTATGGGTTTCGATTCTTTTTTCATTCAGAGGGAGGATCGTTCGGCTGACGGTCTAGTAGCTGGTTCGGATGTTGCGAATATCCAGACGACTGCGAGACTAGATGGTGACCATTACATTGTCAACGGGGCCAAGAAATGGATCACGAATGGTATCTGGGCTGATTATTGCACTGCTGCTGTGAGGACTGGGGGACCGGGGAGAGGGGGCATCAGTCTGCTTGTGATTCCTTTGACTGCTCCTGGGGTTACTCGCTGGCGGATGCACAACTCAGGTGTCAATGCCAGTGGTATGGCCTAGCTCCCATGAACACTCCCATGAATGATCTCAAGCTATGCATAACAGCTGATCGTTCAATTAGGGTCGACGTTCATTGAATTCGATGATGTTCGGGTCCCGGTCGACAATTTGATCGGAAAACAAAACAAAGGCTTTCCGCTCATTATGTCAAGTGAGATATCCCCCAGGAAAGATATCCAAGTACTGATGCTGTCAAGACTTTAACCCCGAGCGGCTTGCGCTTGCATGTGCCGCTTTGCGGTTGGCTCGTGTTTGCGCTGAAGATGCCTTCCACTACGCAGTGCAGCGAGAGACCTTCGGCGCGCCTCTGATCCAAAGACAGGCAATACAATCCAAAATCTTCAAATTCGGTCTCATGATCGAGCCCGCGTATGCGTTCCTGGAGCAGCTCGTCAACATCATCGAGCTCACCAGAGATCGACCCGCTGACGATGTGAAGATCGGTGGAATGACTGCCTTGCTCAAGGTGATGTCTACCAGAGCTCTTGAGAAGAGTGTTCGTGAAGCACAGCAGATCCTGGGAGGCGCTGGCTATAACAAGTCCGGAAAAGGAGCACGCATTGAGCAGATTTCCCGTGACGCGAGAGTTCATGTAGTTGGTGGTGGTAGCGAGGAGATTATGATGGGCCTAGCGTTACAGGAGGAGACCAAGGCGCTTAGGACGAGGCGGCAGGCTCTTGAGAAACGGCCGAAGCTTTAAGATGTGTTGCAAATGGTGCAGATATTTTTTTCCTGATTTGATGCTCAAAACTCACTACAACTCGATGATTCAACTAGTTACAAGATCCATATCCAAATGCCGGCAGTTCTACGTGTCAGCCAAATCCTAACGTGACTTGTTTGACCAAGCCCGACACTAAGAAGTGAGATCGACACCCAAGGAACAAAATGTGAAGGATATGCAAGTCTTCTGGGTACGAGCAAAGCATGTGTTGCGTAGGAGGTCAAACTAACTCCCAAGGATTGATCGATTGACGCTTCTCCTCCAACTGTTGCACTCTCCACTGAAGTATGTCGAGGTGTGCAATCGTATCTTTGATTGCCTGTTTAAGTAAAGGCAAGTCATTGATAGTCTCTGGTCCGAGAGGAAACGGGAGAACCTTGCCATCAAGACGTGACTTTGGAGCGGGAGCCCTCCTGCGAGGGGTCTGATTGTCGGATTCCTTTCCATGATCCCGAACATTCGTCTGAACATCCGCCTGGACAGGGGGACCTTCTCCTTCGTTCTTCTGCACTTCCTCCGCTATGCTGCTATCAGTGGTATCCATCGACGAATGTTCGGAAACAAACAATGAATCTGTAGATTCATCATCTTTGTGTGCTCCTGGGATTCCAATCGTTAACAAAGTGAAGCGGGGTCGGGATGAAGCTTAGGATTCAACTTACGGAGGTCACAGTTGTGTCTCCTACTGAAACGACAATTTGCACATGCTCCAGAAAGCTTCGAGTTCCCGTCTGGGTTAGGTTCAACGATACACATCCTCCAAGTGCCTTTCTGATCTTTGCAGAAGCTGCACGGATCAGCCGCCTCGGTACCGCGGGTTTGATCCAATGCAGCCGTCAACGCCATGCTGTCTCTCAATGGTCTGCGTATAGGCTGGCCTTCCTCGTCTATCTGCCAGTCCAAAACGCGAATGGCAGGCAGTTTCTGGTATACCCTCTGCGCCTCATTCGCGTTATCCCCAGCAATAGGCAGGTCGGACGCGTCTACTCCTGTAACGAGCTCGTCCCTTTCTGGAAATGTGATGTCAGCCTCTTTCAGAGCGAACAGACGAAAAAATTCAAAGACTCATACCATCCTGAGTGCCCAAAGATACACCTTTGCCACGGCGACGGGGTCGGTACGGTCCTTCTTCCTCGCTTTCTGATTCTGAGCGCGCTCGTTTCGGTGTACCTATTCCGAACATACGAAAGATTTTGGGAGCTGTCGGACTCAAGAGGTCGTGGTACTCCTCTCGCTTCCTCATTTTCATCATCTCGTACCGAAGATTGGATGGTAGCAAGAATATGAAATAGGGTGAGATTTTGAAAGGTGATGAAAAACACCGTGACTGTGAGTATTGGCTTGTATACAAAAGCAGTGTTGCCGCGGCGTCACAGTGAGAACTACCAAAATAAACGCACCACCATATCCATAATGTGAAATGTCCCTTTGAATGAGGAGCATTCCCGGGGCTCTCTTCATGTTCATGGCTTTGGAAGAGCTATGATAACCAATTCATCTGTTCTATGTCACTATCTCCTCATTGTCCTGAGGAAAGATTGGCCCTCTCAACTCACACCTTTATCTATAGAAGTAATCGAAGCTGATTACACATGAGTTGAGATTATCTCTTGATTTGCATCTAAATACTCAAAAGAGAAAGGTTCCATAAGGCCCTACATCAGCTAACAGTACACTTTAGGCGCAAGTCTGTCTCTGTACAAACTGGTAGCTTTCGGCGCAAATTTGGGCGATTGAAGGAAGGACCTCAAGAAAAGCAAGAACCTAGTTGCTATCTTCCTTCCATAATATATGTTGACTTTCAGCACTTGGACATTCAATCAAACTCGAGTACAAAGCTTTGAGGATAAAAATTTAGTGGTTGAGTCATTGTCACATAATCTAATCTTGTACAGCCATCTTCAATACTACATTAGCCTCATGCGATTGAGATATGCTTCCATACATAAAATATTCAAAAAAGGGCTTTCCAACAGAGTAAATAACTAGACCTATTCTACTATAATCAGGCATATATGACCTGTAATGGCATACAGAAGCCTAGGTATGGAAGGGAGTCTATAGATTATTATTATCTTATATATAGTTATCTTAATACCTACATTCTTTCTTAGCTATAGTAGAACTATAAATAAGAGGTAGAACCGTAGAACCCTTTAATCTTAAGGAGGTATATACCAATACTGTTGTAACACAATTTGCTACTGAACAAGGTCCTAGATCAAGGCGTCCAACTTCGCTAAAAGCAGCCAGTCGTTAACGATGTACGGTAGAAACCGCTAAGCAAGCAAGCCAAGATTAGTATCATCTTAGTCGACCGGAATAATTTAGTCTAAGGCTTAGCCAGCTCGCTAAGCATTTGACAGTATAGCTCAGCCACCACAATCGTCTAGTTTGTAGGCTACTGGGGGGTTTGGAGATCTGGGGGGCCTAGTTTATTCTGCTTTGGCTCCAGCATAGCCTTGGATGATATCGCTCCCTGCAAAACGCTATTATCTCCTATCGTAGACAAGCGATGGCTGGCCGTGGCGTACTGTAACTATTCTAGTATCTCACCTATCTCCCCTCAATTTATGTCCTGCCTCGGTCATCTCCGTCAAGCCACATACTATGAATAGTAGTACCAACATTGTGCTTGGATATGACAGGACAAGATTTCTTGGATTCCGTCCCATTTCAAAGCACTGTAATATCAGGAAAGTCTCTAATATACAGAGGTAAACTAATCGGAATTACAAATCCTGAATGTACACAATGAAGCCTCGCCTGGAAATCAGCTAAGAAATGCTTTCCCAAGGAATATATCAAGGTTATAAGGTATAAGAAGTTTAATCCACACACACAAAAGTCCACCATGCAGCTCAGCAAAGCTATCATCTTCTCCTTCCTTGCACTCCAAACCACCTACGCCCTCCCTGTGGCCGATCCCACCCCCCAAACCTTGCAAGAGATCTGTTGCGCGATAATGGACGAGGTTGCTGCAATGGCGATGGAAGCAGCAATAGCAGGTATGGAGATGGTAAGTGTAAAGGAATCCCATAATCTACTTCTTCCTGAATCATCGTACTGGTCTGGTCTGGATAAAGTGAACCATGATTAACAAAGGCATATTCCAATAGTCAATGGCGCAAGCCCTCGCTAATGTGGGGGGTACTGGAGCAAAGGATTGTCAGGAGGTCTGTAAACTTTCCAAGCGGACCCTGCCTGGATTAGAGCAGGAGTAATCGAGGGTTTATTGGCGATACTTGAAGGTTTAGTCGGGGAAGAGAGAGGTTGACCTATCTATGTATCTATCTATCTATCAAATGTGTTGAGAATGAATTTCTTACGGATTTCTCACTCTACAGGTTCCTAATTTGGTTATATATTCCTGGGTGATATCTCCATCTTCAAGGAAAACAGTGCCCTAACAGAGCCCTAAGTACAATAACCGCCTATCCCACCCGCCGATATTGGACAACCGTTGGAAATTCCAGATGACTTGGATACCACAGCTCCAGCCATCGGTTTGTTGAGGGGTAGGCTAGCTCCCTGTTACTTCCTCTGCCCGCTATGACCGAGGAAAAAGTCAGGATGTCAGGTTGTTTGACTGGAACATTAAACAAGCTACAGAGACGGAGAACTCCCACCATTCACACTGTACGCCCAGAGCTGATTAGAATCTTGCTATAGTGGATCAGATAAACCCTGATGTCCTCAGGACTTTGCGCACGTAGTTAGGGCTGGCCCGGCTGGGCCATCCACTCCAATAGAGTGTCTAGTCTGTCCATAACTAGAGCACAGGATGTGTAATAGGAGCTATTAAAGTGGTATTCCTCAAAGCTAAAAGTCTGTTAGCAAAAATCTTAATTGAAGTGTCACAAGTGTGTTTCCTCCAGTGAGAAGGTGTCCGGCTGCTTATGAGGAGTCATGCTTTTTAAGAGAGACTGTATGATTGACATCCCAGAAGTAACTAACTAGTTATATGATGGCCATTATGTCATGCGGGGAAAGCTGGTGTACTGTAATGGAGCTGTATTGTATTATGTAATGTTACGCGCTCTCTTATTCCTCTAATCACCAACAACAGATAAACAGTATGCAAGAACAACTAACTCTGAGGCAGATTTGATGACTCTTGTGCTGTCCCATGAATACTACTACCTCTGAGTAGCTGGAGCAGATTTGTTCCAGCCTCAGCTGTGAATATGGAGAGCTTTGATGATGCTCCACATCCGTTGGAGTTCGTCGAAGAGAATGCTGCTCTACCTAACGAATATCCCTCAAGAGCTCCATCAAGAGCAGAATACAGCACCCAAAGTTTTACGTCTGACTTGAGCTCTACGATCGTGGATGGATCGTTCACGTCGAACGGGGCCTTCAAAGCAACTGAAGATCAAGTAGATACCACGCAGCGAAGACTTACCGATCAAGAAGATGTCTTCAAACCTCCCCAGACCGCCTCTCCTTTCCCTCCCATGCCATTCAGCCCGCCTCCAGCAGCCGAGATCAGCGAAGACGGACACGGTGAAGAAGACGAGGAGCCTCATGTTGCGACCTCCTTCGAGCGTGACTCGTCACCGACCTTAGCGCAGAGGCACCGATCGGCGTTTTTCGATCTCGGCGAAGAAAGCATCAATCGCATGCACAAGATCTCATTGTATGAGACGGCAACTCGATTCTATATGGTGGGCATGGATCTCTCAGACACGCGGTTTCGCATTTTGAAAATCGACCGTACGTCGGACACAAACGATTTGATTATCGTCGAGGACGACATCGTGTACACAAAGAGGGAAATGAGCCAGTTGCTTGACGCCATTGACGATGGGAATAAGAGCTCCGGCGGGCTGAAGCTCAGATGCAGTGCATGGGCCTTGCTTGGCTTTATTCGCTTCACGGGTGCATATTACATGCTTCTGGTGACGAAGAGGTCACAGGTCGCTATGGTTGGCGGCCACTATATCTACAAGATCGATGGGACGGAACTCATTTCGTTGACAACCTCGAGCTCCTCCAAGCTGAAGCCCGAGAAGAACCCTGAAGAGGCGCGGTATATTACAATCCTCAATAATCTTGACCTGAGTCGGTCATTCTACTTCAGCTACTCATACGACATCACGCGCACCTTGCAGCACAACATTTGTCGTGAACGCAAACTTCATCAGGACGGGCACTCGAAAGGCTTCCATCAAGATTACAACACGATGTTCATATGGAACCATCACCTTCTCAGTCCCGCAATCGCAGCACTGAAGAACCCTTATCAGTGGTGCCTCCCTATCATCCATGGTTATGTCGACCAGGCCAAGATTGATGTGTATGGGCGGCTGGCCTACTTGACCATTATTGCTCGCCGATCTCGATTCTTCGCTGGGGCCCGCTTCTTGAAACGGGGTGCTAATGATTTAGGATACGTCGCTAACGATGTCGAGACGGAGCAGATCGTTTCGGAAATGTCCGAAACTTCATTCCATGCTCCCGGCCCGGCTCTCTACGCCAACCCTCTGTACACCTCATATGTCCAGCATCGTGGTAGTATCCCTCTCTACTGGACCCAGGAGAACTCAGGAGTATCACCCAAACCGGATATTGAGCTGAATCTTGTTGATCCGTTCTATTCAGCTGCCGCCCTTCATTTTGATAATTTATTTGAGAGATACGGTGCCCCAATTTACGCTTTGAATCTGATCAAGTCCAGGGAGCGAACTCCACGAGAGTCAAAGCTTTTGAAAGAATATACAAATGCCATCAACTACTTAAACCAATTTCTTCCTGAAGATAAGAAGATCATCTACAAACCATGGGATATGAGCCGCGCTGCGAAAAGTCGCGACCAGGATGTGGTGGGAACACTGGAGGAGATTGCAGGTGAAATCATCCCGAAGACTGGTTTCTTCAAGAATGGTTATGACGCAGATTCTGGCTTACAACTCCAAAATGGGATTGCTCGAACGAATTGCATTGACTGTCTTGACCGTACAAATGCTGCTCAATTCGTGATCGCAAAACGAGCACTTGGTTATCAGCTCCATGCTCTTGGCTTCATCGATGGCACCACTTTGGAGTACGACTGTGACGCAGTCAACCTTTTTTCCGCTATGTGGCACGATCATGGTGACACGATTGCGATTCAGTACGGCGGTTCGCACCTGGTCAATACCATGGCTACATACCGCAAGATCAATCAGTGGACCAGCCATTCTCGAGACATGGTGGAGAGTTTCAAGAGATACTACAACAATTCGTTCCTCGATGCGCAGCGACAGGAAGCTTACAACTTGTTCCTCGGTAACTACATTTTTGCCCAAGGTCAACCGATGCTGTGGGACCTGTCCACCGACTACTACTTGCATCATGCCAGTCCCAGATCTTGGGCGGAGAAGAGGCGACCCAATTATATCAACTGGTACACCCCAGAGAATCTAAAAGTGCGTGAACTGCCACCTCCTCCTTCGCGCCCGAAGGAGCCTCTGTCGCGATTTGATGATTATTGGCTGGAATATTACAGACCTTTGGCTGTCTCGACTCTTCCGAAGATCTTCTCGTTTAAAATGAAGTCAACGTTTCACTACGTTCCGCACCCCTTCAGCCCATTCGATGTGCGAATTGCTCACGAGCAAGCCAATCGTGAGAGGCATCCGCAACGAAGTGTGAGAATACAGGAGCCAGGCAGTAGCGTCATCGAGCATTCGACGCGCTCACCCATGCACAGCGCGCCACCGACCCCCAATTCCACGCTGAAATGGCCCGACTCGACGAAACCTTCCGCGAAGTATATAAAAGACTCCATATATGAGCTTTCTCTATCCAGTAGCCAAATACCATCCATGCAGACACCCACGGACCCAGGTACACCTAGCAAAGCACAAATTGCTCAATGGACACTCGGCCAGCTAGTGACCGACTCGCTGAATCCGTCCGTCACTGCCGCAGAGGCTGAAGAATACGAGCGCTACATCAACCACCCGCTGAACGTTCCCCTCGTCGTGACATCGGAAGATGAGATCACCGCAGCTTCAGCCCAGCATGAGTCGAACTTAGACCTGCTGGAATACGCCAACAAATGCAACGTTGAAGAGGTCACACTCGACGCTAATGCGGAGGAGAACCTAGCGGATTATGCCGAGTTTCTTACCGTATCGGAGGAAGGACTTACAGTTGTTGCAGAGGACTATGAGAAGAAACGCTATAAGCGGTACCGACAGTGGCTACGGGGGAAGAGTCTTTTCAAGCAACGGGTCGATATATAATCCCCATCACACCAAGTTGCATTTCCCAGCTCTATGATGAATTATGTCGTTAATGATACCCCAAGCTTATCGCTCATGTGTCCAACTTTAGCATATCTCGCTTTACGGAACTAACGAAGCATGTTACTCATGTCTCTATTGCCATCAAAAAAAGATGTAAAACAGACAATCACGGATCTATCCCGAAAAAGTCCGCATCATTAGGATCAATATCCACAAGAAGTAAGTCCGCAAGAGACTCATCCGCGTCAACTAGTTCCTGCAATTCCTTTCGAATAGCAGCCTTCGCTTCCAACTGGCCAACATCTCCGTCCGCCTGCGCTGGATTCTCCAGCGCAAACCTCAACAGGTACACCGCCCCCCTCAGCTCCTTCTTGAGCTTGGTCAGCGCGGCGCCAGTCTCCTGGTCCTCGCCCGCACTCCGCCCCTTGAAAGCCCGCTCGGCGATCTCGCCTTCTTCCTCAACTACGCGCAGCCAACACGAGCACAGCGCGCCGAGGATCTCACCGCGCCATCGCCACAGTCGTGGATGCGCGTTCAGAACCACAGCACGTGTTACGGCGATCGCGGAAAGGAGAAGAGGCGGGTATGCTGTTCCGAAAGGGTTTGACAACGTACTGTACAGCAGAGGGACAATCTCTTGAAGGTACTTTGTCGTGTGGATGCCAAGCTCCAGGAGTAGAGGGTACATCTGGTCGACGAGCAGTGTCGAGAGACGCGGATATGGGAACGTTGCGAACGAGGAGGTTGAGCTCCTGTTTGTTGAACTGATGTGGTGGAATGAGGAGATGAGATTCTCGCGGAGAGTTCTTGTCACGCTGGAGATATAATTGTCTCTGCTTGAGTTTGCGGCTGACCTTGGGGTGGTGGCGTGGTAGTTTGTTTGTAGGAGGGAGAGCAGAGCTGGGTAGGCTACCCCGAGCAACTTGATGGCGTCGTCTTCGGGTGTAATCGACGGTAAAGAGAGGAGACATGGTCTGACGGCGTCCTCGAAGACAGACGCCAGGTTTGTCCTCTGGAGGATGTCAGATCTGCTTTCCCGGATTGGGTTGAGGAGTTGGTTCAAGAGAATGCAGCCGCGTGTCTTGTAGGCAACGCTGTCGTCGTCTATTAGGGCGAGAATTGGTGGGACGAGTAGTGGAACGTGTGCTTCTAGATAGGGTCTATCTTTTGCCTATCTTGACAGTCAGCAACCCAACCCGAAGCTTGGAGTGATGAAGCATTACCTGGTACTGCGCGATCACCCAGGCTAGCACTGTAGTAGCGTAGACATCACTGATCTTCCACGGCTTCGTCGCCGGATCGATGATGCTGGCATCAAATCGCGGGAGGGGGACAGGATGAAAGTTCTTTCTGCCCTCGGCAGTGATTGCGGGATTTTTTGTCTTCGCGAATAACGGCTTGATTCTCTCTTTGAGAATCCTTTCAACGAGAGACCAGAAGGAGCTATCTGCTTCGCCACGAACGTTCGTACTTAATCTCTCTAGGGTTTTCTTCGACTTCATATAAGTGTCCCGTGTCGTCCAAGAGTCTTGCTCAGATGTGAAACTCGCCAGCGCAGTGATCACATCTGTCGCGTGCGCTGATTTTTGAATCCGCAGCAGAGAATTCAGCGCAACAAGGACAGAGACAGCAAGTTCCAGCTGAAGCTTATTCTCGCGGATCGTTTCAGTCTTCTCCACTACATGGCCTCGCAGCGTCAGCATCGCGCATTATTACGATGAGGAGACAAGGTTGCGACTCACCGTCAGAGGATCCTACCTCTGTCGTCGCGAAGACTGCAGACGGAAGTGCGAGCTCACTGGCCCACGCATAAAGATTATTGACAGCATTTTCCTCAGTTTCAGATAAGCTCTTCGAGCTTTGGCTTGTCAAAAATGCTTGGGCGACAAGAAGATTCTCGCATGTCTACTTCGACGTCATCAGTGATCGAACAGCCGGGTACTCCAGGGAAACTCTTCTCACGTTTGCTGTATTCTGGGCTTGATAAGATGATACATTGTGCCATAACAGATCTAGGTCTCCAGGGATGTTTATGCTGTCTAAACGTGCCTCTGGAATTATACTAGAGTCTCGTCGCTGGAGGGTCTCACGTGCCGCTGCGCGGAGCTCTTCCATCTCAGTAAGCTCAAATCACGGTGGTACACAGATTCTAGTAATCTCGAGCTGGTCTAGAAAGAAAGATCATGAGTTGTGGGAAGGGAATTATTTTCTTCTCATAGCTGGACGTGGTTTGTCGGATAGCGATTACAATCAGTAAGCGGGAAATTTGCGGAAGGGAAAAAGTGTCCATGTCATGGTTCCTGGGAGCAATAAATAATGCTGTCTTCCGCGTGTCTTTTCCATGGGTCTCAGCAACAACTACAGACCTAACTCATCTTCTCTATCTAACAAATATTCCAGTGCCTTTTCCTTCTCCGTAATTTCAGGGTGTAGAAGCTGCCACTTAAACACCATATCCAATGCTTTGCTCAACCAAGGCCCATTCTTTGCCTCTAGAGCCTTCATGATTTCCCCTCCATTCACAATAGGCTTCATTTCACACACGCCTTGCAGGTCGTTCTGAATAATGTACGATATAAATCTGTCATATTCTTGGATCACTGCCAGTCGAGCACAAGTCAGTGCCTCAAATTCAACCGAAAGTATCAGGGGGTCATTTTGGTATGTTTCTCACCAGGTAGGAACTCTCTTCCTCTCATGATCTCCTGCAGAATAGCCAAGAGTATGCAGAGTCTCCAGTCCTTCTTCCAGCTCTTGATGTACAAGCCGATTTGTTGCCGTACTTCGGGAGATGTTCCTTTCATGCGGCCCTCCAGGAGCGAAGACTTGACATCAATAATGGACCTCCAACTGGCAGCCGCATCACCGAGAACGCTGACCATCTTATTGTCAGAGCGGAGGCTGTCTCTTGCCACCTCTGCCGCTCGAGGGGGAAAGGCTTTGGCTTTCGGTCCTTTTGCTATGCGTGTTGGCACGCTAGACCAGGGCGCTAATGCAGCAATCATCCATGCATAATATGACTCGAGTGGATTACGCATGAGGAAGTCGCGCACTTTCTCGAGCGTGGCCTTCGATGCCCCAACAGGATGCGAAAGGGATTCCAGAGCGTTGTAGGCGAGCGACCAAGAGGATGTATCAGCGCTGACATCGTCTTGGTGATTGGCGAAGATAGTATGGTAGAGTCCAAGTCGATCAATGAATTGCAGCGCGTTTCGAGGATCGGGTCCTGATCGAACGTTAACACGTGGTTCTGTTTCAAACCTAGCTGAATATTGCAGACCTTTGAGCATCTTCTCCAACTCTGTCCCCACGCGTTCCCTACTGATCTTCACTTTTAGTGTCGCACTAATATCACTGTTCTGCATCGCCCTTTCTGTATTTGAATCGATTTGATAGCCCAGGCGGCTGGCGAATCGGATCAACCGTAGCACACGTAAAGGATCGTCTTTGAAGGTCTGGTATGGCTCTAATGGAGTTCGGATAATCTTGTTCCTCATGTCTGAAAACCCTCGTCCAGTCAAGTCTTCCACTTTGGACTCATTCAAATTGTAGAAAAGAGCATTGATTGTTGCATCACGACGTAAGGCATCTTCTTCGGCGGTGCCGAACTCCATCTGCGGGTTCCGGGTATCATCCGTATATGTCTCCTTTCGAAGATTGACCAGATCAATATCCAAGCCAAAGATCTTAGTTGTTACAGTTTCCAGATGTTTGGACTTTTCTGGATTTGCTTCAATTTTGTGCAGACTGACGATAGCCTCGTTCAGCTCTCCATTAGGGTGGTTGCGCTTGTACTTTTCCAAATTTTCAGGAATGTCCAGATAATCTTTGAGAGCCATGCCAAATTGATAACCAGTCATGGAGCTAATTCCTACATCGATATCATGACTGTCGACTCCAAGCAGCTTGTCCCTCACCCATCCTCCTGTGAATCGAAGCACCATGTGGGGGGTATCCGCCTCGCTCGCGCCGGCAGCGATTGCTCGTTCTCGTGTGTATTTGGCGACATCGAGGAGGAGTTCTTTTAAGGTGTTCTCGATGGGCGTAAGCTGTACTGTGACCAGCGGCTGAGGAGTCTGGGACGAAGTTTGAGCCACCGTCGCCATTGCTTCGGAGGCACCCTCGTGCGGGGCAGTCGCGGATATGCGTCTTCTCTTGGGTGCTCTTCCTGGGGGGTGGCTCGAACTTTCTCGATGGCGCATAGAAGGACTGCGAGTATTCAACCCAAAAGTTCGTGATGAATACGTTGAATACGGGGCTGGTGCGCAGTTCCTCAAATGTCGAAGCGGCGCGCTTGCCGATCTGGTGGGAGAAGGTAGCAAAAAGAGAGAGGGGCGCAACGAACAATGACGTTCAAGAAGGAAGCGCAGAGCTGGAGCATTCGACATCGACACAAGCCATGCCACGAGTATTATACTTTTGTCATGAGTGCACAGTATGTGTGACTCAATAGAAATGCGGAGGAGTCAGAATGAATCATTTACCAGTATGTGTGTTGTGACGATTGGGCTGCAGGTCACCACTACCGCCTTCTCCAACTTGATGGATGACCATAACATTCCATAGCGATAGGATTTATACTGGATTTAGGAGGATACATCAAATAGATAAATCTCCGGGAGCATATTTTTCTACTGCACTGCATAATAATTATTGAATTTATGTTCCGAGCAATTATCAGTCATTGGACGAGGAACAGATGTCCAGTCCCTTTGTCTGCCCTCTTCAGTTGTACCACGTTTTTGCCAGACTGACTTGGCCTCATCCCATCTCATCCTCCAATCCACTCCTCATAAGGTATCTACCTAGGCCTACTCGGTCCTTCAATCTATCCTCCTTCGACGCCCTCTTTGCGCCCTCACTTCTCGGTCCATGGGCTCTAGAGTCTTCTTCACCTCTCTTTATCCTGATTTAGTATCAATTCGATGTCCATGACATCGCCCGGAGATGCTTCTCCGGTCAAACCTCCGCCGTCCTTTTCGCCCGGCGTGCCGCGTGTCACAACAAAGACAAGATACCCAGACCAGCGCCGTGATTCCTCCTCGTCACTAGATCCGGATTCCCTTGAAGCCAGAAGAGGGCTATCGCCGACGCCTCCTCTCTCCGCTACCACCTCGGAGCTTCCAATCCGTTCTGCTTCACCCCACGGTCGGTCACTTAGATCGTCAACCCCACAACTAGCCAGGTCATCTCTGGGCTCACCATTGGAGGGACATGTTGATGGTACGGAAGATATTCGATCGCTAATCATACGATCCTTTTCCCCTACCGTTGGAGTTTATGCGTCCGTGGATACCGATGATCTGGTGCGGGAGAAAGGTTTCAAAGGCGGCTTCTGGGAGCTGATCCGGCCATTCGGAGAAAGCATCCCTGGAAAGGTCGTTATTCGGGATAGCGTTGGATCGAGTCGTGGTTGGGAGGATTACGGAGTGCGCTTTGTGGATCTGGGAGGTCGCCAGCAGTTTCCCGCAGGCCCCGACACTGGACAGAACCCTCTGGTACAGCTAGAGGAAGTTTTGGACAGACAACTTGATGCCGCGGATGAACTACTGGGCGTTCCACTGCGCCCGAAAGACCTTGCGAATTTCCTTGCGACTTCGCCATTATACAAGTTCTACCTGCGTCAGCTTTTGTCAACAGCGTCTGCAGCACCCCACGAGACTTTCCGCCATCCCGTAGCAAGTGTGATTGCCATTAGTTCGCGCAATACGGCCCCTTTAGAAACTCTCCGCCAGTTGTATGCAGATACAAGCAATGGAGACCGGAGGTTACCGGAGTGGGTTCATCCTGAGTATCTTCGTTACTATGTGCTCGTTCACGACGAGGACCGGGATGACATCGCCGAGTCAACCAAGCTTTATGATCAGATGAAGCGGCATTTTGGGTTGCATTGTCATCTACTAAGGCTACGCAGCACGCAGTGTGTTGTTACGGATGATGACGGCGCTCCGGTCCCTCAGTGCGAATGGCTCTCACCGTCGGAGCATCTAGCAAGCCAAAACGGTATGTCATTTATCGCGTTCCCCCTTCAGTCGAGATATCTAATCGATACCAGAGCCGCTTGTTGAGCTTGACACCGAATATCGCCCATATCTCTTTGACTCGGACGCGATGGCCATCAAGGTTTTCGTTCGGGAGTTGGTCGCTCAGTCAATCATTCCGTACATGGAAAATAGAGTTGCCGTTTGGAATGATCAGGTGGCATCTCGAAGGCGCGGCATTAGCGGCCGTTTCATGTCCATGTCGCGGAAATGGGCAGGATTCGGTTCTAGCTCGCGATCTGGCATTAATGGTTCTGGTGGTGGGAACTATGATTTTGCGCGTGGATTCTACAAACCGGACGCACCTGAAGCGGTTTTGCGAAAGATGGCTGACTTTGCCTTCATGCTTCGTGACTGGAAGCTATCAGCGTCCACCTATGAGCTCCTACGTTCCGACTATACCAACGACAAGGCTTGGAGATATCATGCCGGTGCTCATGAGATGTGCGCAGTGAGCACGCTCCTGAACCCAATGGCCATGCCAGCAAAAACCAAACTCGAAGCCATCGATCAGATGTTGGAAACAGCTTGCTATTCCTACCTCACGAGGTGCTCTGATGCACCCAATGCTCTGCGTTGTTTATGTTTAGCTATGGAATTGCTGAAGTCTCGTGGCGGGTTTGCAACTGAAAGCGCAGCTAAATGGGCCATGCGGGCCATGGACCTAGGTTTAGTCGGCGCGATAGGTCAGATCCTTTTCAGCGAAAGAATCTCGGCGTGCTATGCTTCTAGGCCGCCACTGACCGGTGTGAAATGGGGCGGCCGTCGCAGGAAAGCTGGGATGTGGAGCGTCCTTGCAGCGGACCTCTGGCTCAAGACTGGAAAGCCAACTCTAGCGTCTTCTTGCCTTGAGGAAGCGGAACGCCTGTATGCTGACGTCCTTGATAGCGACGGAGTGTTTCCCATGCCAGAGATGCAATCATTCATTGATAATCTACGGCATACGGTGAAAGTCGAATATCTTGGTGCTCGAGGCTTAGACACTCGGGAGGAAGTAACCGCCACTGAGCAGCTGGAACCCGAGGAAACAAGCGAGAAGCTGGACAAGCGCCAGAATCGGAAGTCTTTAATCGGCAATCCTCTGGATTCAAACGGCCTTACTGTGCCGATGACGGGTGATAATGAAACTTCAGCAAATGACGATTTTGAACGAGCTTAAGATGCGTGAAGTGGGCCACACATGGCATATATTATGACATATGGTAGCTATAGAATTTGGGCAACCAACTTAATACAATCAAAAGATATAATCTATTCTTCTCATCTCAAATAACAGTAGAGCAGACAAAGGAATATATAATCACGTGATTGTTATCTTATCGATAGCGCGCTCTCCTCAGCAACAAGGTGTTGCTGAGCATAGACTGTTGACATCAGCAAGTCCAGATTAACTATTGCTACCAGTTTGGTGAGACTGAGTATGTCAACAATGCAATTTTGATTTTGTATCTTTTTTTACACTTTGCACAACATATACTCAGAGTGAATCACAGAAGCATAGACAAGGATCAAAAACAGGCAATCAAAAGACCACAATTTGGAAGATACAGTTCAAGCAACATGAGCGACCTCCTGAATTACATCCTCACACAAGAAGACTCCTTTAAAAAGTCTGCTGCCACATTCATCTCTGAATAGAAGTTGGCTAAAAAGAATGAAGCTAACTACTTTCTTCTAGAAACCGCTTACCTTCGCTTTACTCCGACTTCACCTTACAGAAGAAGACGAACCCCGACGGATATGCCGTGAACGTCGCTGCATGGGAACGAGCCCTGACAAGGGCCGCAAGAGGGGGCTATGTAACGACTTCCCATTCTCGTGAACCGATCTCGACGACCGGTACAGGGGTCAAAAGCGACCATCTGATACTGAGGACAGACGACTCGCTGTTACGAGCTCTAGAAATACCTGAGTACGGCCAGCCGGTGGCACTTGGTGCGGTGTTGGTATGTCTCAGTTTCCGATCTCTTTGAAGTTTTGTGCTTGCTGAGTGTGTTGGTTTCGCGCACTTTTAGGATGAAGCTATTCGGAAGCATACTATGGTCCCATTGCAGGTTTTCAAGGCCACTGCGCTCAGATTGCAGAAAAGCCAATGGAGCATTATCAATCCTGGGGTATTGAGCCCATGGAATGTAATGACATGGGGGATGAAACAGTTGAGAGGTTTTGTGGTGGGGGCCGACACACCAGAGACCTCGGCTAGATTACAGGTTCAGGAGCTGGTGCTGGTAGAAAACCTAAAGGTATGGCTCTCATCTCTCTCATGGTTTCTTTGAACAGGCCCTGATCGAACCATACAGGAGGCAGCAGATCGGGCAGTGAAGCAGACTGTTGGTGGCAGTCAATCAAAGATGGATCTAGTATACTCCAGAGAACGTTTTACAGAAGAGTTCGCAACAGTTCTCAACAAGAACAGTGAGCTTTCAAAAACTGATTTCGATGTCTTGCTCCTTTATCTATCCCGTGATATAGGGGCCATCGCGTATGACGGCAAGGTAGGTTGTGATCCGTCCACGTACGGAATGCGCACATTACACATACTGATGTGTACCAGACCATCAGATTTAGACCCTCGAACGACTCGCCACGCGAGATCACAGAGGAAGACACTACCATTGCCTCTATCAAATCTCTCATGTCAACTATGACAAAGCAAGTCGACCGTCTGGAGAGGAAGATTGAGGAGCTGAACTTGACCGCAAAAGTTGCTCTTCAGAAGAAAAACCGTGTCTCGGTATTGGCAGCGGTACGCTCCAAGAAGCTCACCGAACATAATCTTAAGCAGAGACTGGACACTCTGACACAGCTCGAAGAGGTCTATTCAAGGATCGAACATGCCACGGACCACGTTGAATACGTCCGAGTCATGGAAGCGAGCACGGGTGTTCTTCGCGGGCTGCATACTCAGATTGGCGGCGCCGAAAGAGTGGAGGATGTTGTTGAGGAGCTGCGTGAAGAAATGTCTAAGGTGGACGAAATCGGCAACATCCTAAATGAGGTTGCTCCAGAAATCGACGAGGCAGAGTTGGACGACGAGATTGAGGAATTGGAGAATAGAGAGCGACAAGCAAGGGAAGAAAAGGAGGCGGAAGAGACACGCAAGAAGCTCGCTGAGCTTGACGATCTCGAACAGAAAGCCAAAGAGGCTGCGCGCGCAGCCGCGTCGGAGCAGAGCGTAGAATCGGCGATCGAGGAAAGTATCGAAAGGCTGTCGCACATGTCGGTTGAGGAAGGTCCCGGGGCCACGGCTCAGTGAGATCTATGGCACCTATTCCTCATGTCAAAGACATCGTTTTGGGGCTACTGTGTCTTCGCAGCTTCTTCAGGGACAATCTCTGTGCACAAGGACAGGCTGTGAACTACTCTGGAGGAGCACTGACTACCTGCGTTATACTAGGGGTCTGTATCGTCTGAGTTTCATTCTCAGCAATAGTTCCAGCTGAAGTGCCTTCAGGTACTGCTTGTACTGCTTGCAACCTCTCTGCAACTTCTGGTGGTGTTGACGTCTCAGTAGACTGCTCAGGATCCGAAGCCATGGAGGTTTCAATTTGAGCTGAAGCCGCCTGAGGTATCGTTGTGCGTATCAGAGCGTCGCTTCTTTTCCGTGCATTCGCAATCAGTCGCTTGAAGTCGTCGTCATGGTTATTTGACCACGCTACAGCATCGAAGTCCTTGCGCATGACTGTGTTGCTAGATTCCGATGATGAAGCAGCATAGCCGCCCTGGGTACGCTCCCATACAGCCAATTCGTGCAACAATTCTCGTTTGGACTTGGGTGCTTTCGAGTCGCAGTTCGCATTCCATAGATTCATCCATTCTGTGTGACGTCTTTGCAGAAGGGGTCGCGGGCCCCAATTGGGTATACCCAAGTCTTTGAGCTTCTTGCGGAGAACATTATCCTTCAGCAAACTATAATTTATGGTAGGGAGCCGTTCTGGTGGTTTGTCTGTGACATCTTTTGACTTGCGCGAGGCTGGGGACATGGGTTGCAGAGACCTACATACAAATAGGAGTCAGATACTTCGCATCGTATAGTTCATTTCAAGAAACATCTTACCCGAAGGATGCTTGTTTCGACGGAGCTGGGTCCCCTGTACAAATATCCAAATGTTGGAAAACTGCTTCATTTTTCATTCTCCGGCCGCAAATAGGGCAAGCGACCAAACCGTCCTCTGAGATACACTCATATTAGACGCAACGGCTTCTCCAACCCTAACGGAACCGGGATAAGTAGAGTGTAACGACATACCCGGGATATACTCCTCATCCTGGTCGTCTTCGATCACATCCACCACAACAGGCTCTGCTTGGCTGTTCCCTCTTCTGCTCTGAGACCTTGTCCGTACCCCCTCAGACACAGACGCGTCCGGACCATCCTCCTGATCGACCTTACGCTTCTTCGTCGCAGGCTGACCCGTAGTGTACTCCCCATCAAGACGCGGGCTAGCGGCCTTCCTCGCAAGCTCGAGTATACTCGGACGAGCATTCTGGAAAGCTTCCACCAGCTCCTGGACCGCCCAATTACGCCGCAGCTTGAGCTCCTGATCTGAGCTCCGACAGGCTGGACATTTGCCCTCAGTACTCAGGCATCGTCGTATACATAGCGAACAGAACGTATGGCTGCAAGAGGTGATGACGGGGTTGTCGAAAAAGTCCTTACAGACTTGACATCGGAGAGAGGATTCGAGCGGCGTGAGGAGCGACAACGGCGTGTCCAACCAGTCTGTGGAGTCGGGAAGGTCAAATGTCTGCTCCATTGAGTCGAGGTAAGCTGCCGCGCCTTATGGCGTAGGAGAAAGATGGTGTTTTTTTGATCGTCACGGCGAATAAGAGAGTTGCGAGCAATCGCTACTGCTAACAGCGGCACAGCGCCAAGACCGGCTGACTGATACGCGTAAAGTGGTTTAACACGCGTCGCTCGGGGAAGGACCATAAATGATAGGAGCTTCTATCCGTGAAGGAACACAAGCTACAGAAGCGCAAATAGCTGCAAAAGCGAAGATGGCGGTCGTCGATTACCGGAAATACCTCGCGGAGAATGTCCTCAACGAGCGGCATACAGTATGTGAGATTCGCGTCGTGCTTTGAGCTCCGGGTAACTCAATCGATCCAGGTCACCTATCGCTCGTTAGGTCGAGCTCTCAAGGTCCATTGCAACCTGGCCAAGCAGTTCGTCTATCTACACTCTCGTCGCTTAATACGGGATGGTTAACGCTTTCAGAATGCTATATGATTTTCACCATACCGAGAATAAGAAGAAGCCGCAGAGTGTAAATGCGACCTACGTTATTACTGGGATTCAGAAACCACAAGAGAAGGATACAAATGGTGTTCATGCTGAGAACAATGACAATGGAGACGATATCATGCAGGGCAGCCCCTACCTACCTAGCTCGATGCCAAATCAGGACACGGCTTTTGACGAGGTGCCAACAACCTCGATTATTCTCGCGCGCGAAGAAGATCTGGATGGCAAGTGCTTGCTTTAAGCAAGACCAAATTTAGCGAAGATGGCTTGTCACTAACTTACGTTGTAGATGCAAAGTCGACCTTCGAGTCAATATCATCAATACACATATATAGCTTACAGCCCACGGTTTTACAAGATCTAAACGTGCTCACCGATGTTCATCGAGAGATGCTGGCCGCTCATGCTCATGAAGATCCTTTAGAATACGGAAAGCAATGGGGAATGATTCAGAACAAGAATGTCAAGGTATCTGTCCTGAAATCCTGTGGACATTGATCTGAATGAACTCATGGCCTGACTTCTGGTCCTATAGAGGAGAACAGGCGTGCGGCCACCTGCGCCAGCGCCCACCCCGGCCCCGAAAAGTGCGGTTCCCTCGAAACGGCCGTTACAGGACGATGCGACACAGAAAGTGAAGTCAGAGAGCAAGAAGGTCGAAGACGCAGCACCTACATATCAAACAAAAACTGAAGAGCAGCCACCTCTCAAAACTAGTGAGAAGACTGCGCCGTTGAAGAGGGAGAAAAGCGACCTCTTCAGCTCTTTTGCGAAGGCAAAACCAAAACAAAAGAAAGAAGGATTGGCGACCCCTGCTGTTTCTGGTGCCGAATCGGTCAGTACATCTCAGCCCAACTTCGTGGGCTAAATCACAGCTGCTGATTGAATTTACAGGCCGAGCCTAGCGGTGCAGAAGATGGTAAGCTCAGCATTATACACTTCCAGGTGTCGATGCAAGGACTAATAGATAGCAGTGGTTTTGGGGGATGCCTCTGATGAGGAGGAACCTGAAGAGCTCTTCCCTGACTTCGGAAAGTCAACGACAACCAACAATCGTGAGACAAGAAAAGAACGAGAAGAGAGGCTCAGAAAGATGATGGAGGATGATGACGGTATGCTAATTGGCTTGCTTTTCATATGACACTACAATCTGATCTGTGCTAACTCGTATGAAGATGAAGATGAGGAGATGCCAGATGTTTCAGAACCTTCCGCAGAGGAAGAAAAAACCATCGACCAGCCAGCACCCAAGCAGGAACTCAAGCAAGAGATAACAGTATCGGGAGGCCGCCGAAGAGGTAGGCGCCAGGTCATGAAAAAGAAGACCGTCAAGGACGAGGAAGGGTATCTTGGTGAGAATCCCCGTGCGCTGCATCGGATGACCTCTAAACGCAGCTAACCTGCCTAATTCTCTCCAGTGACCGTAGAAGAGCCGTCATGGGAGTCATTCTCGGAGGATGAACCCGCACCACCGCCTAAGAAAAAGCCAGCCTTGAGCGCGCCCAAAGGCAAGGCTGGAGGGAAGGCCGGTCAAGGCAGCATCATGTCCTTTTTCTCCAAAAAGTAAGTAGTCGGTCGTGTAAAATCAGCAAAACATGTTATGGCCATGTCCTAGAGCCTAGTCCACAGCACATGTAAATTAAAGTGAATGTTTTCTTCTAAAGTAGAACAGGGGAGTCCACAGAGTCATCTCACCCCGAGATGGGTTACTGCACCTCCCCCCGCATATTGTGACGATCTCCGCATCTTAAGCGGGGACGAACAAATGGCGATTCTAAACTGATCCACCATCTCTGAATTGCAACAATACTATGCAATGCTACCGTGTGACTTCGGATAAATTCCGAGGAGGATATGAAGGATACAAGGATATCAGGAGTGTATTGGGTTTCGAACCGGTTCGAAGCGCATGTCCGTTTTCGACTATTTGTGATCATCACATCCCCGTCCGGCATGCGCGAAAACGACAATTGATAAACAATCGCCAAAGCAATACATTGAACTCTTGAATCTTCAATCTTTCACCCCTCCAATGATAACTTCATATTCTCAACGTTGAGCACGAGGTCAATCAGAAAGCATTCAGCCGACTATGACTCTTTCGGCAGTCCTTTTTGTCGCCCTGACAGTTGGTCTTCAAGTTAGCCGCACCGCAGGGCTTCAAGATGAGCCCGCGATTCTGCGGCGAGCTTGTCCTGATTACGTCTCATACTCGACAGTACCACAGTATGTCACCAGGTCTCCATATTCCTACATGGTTCGACCGACTAAGAGCTAATTTCAATCTTCTTACGTTGATTCAGTTCTCCATACAGTGGTGGTCCATTAAACCTACCCTTCCAACGGCCAGCGACAGAATGTCGTACCTTTTCGTCCCCAGAGGTGGAGAGAGTTATTGACGATGTCACGTCTCGTATGGTGGATAAGGATTTAGCTCAATTATTTCGAAATGCGTTTCCCAACACCTTGGACACGACCGTTAGATGGCACACCGATGGCTCAACTGCGGCCAAAAAAACTAAGAAGGATGGTGCTCAATGGCAGGGACCACAGAGCTTCATTGTGACCGGCGATATCAATGCAGAATGGCTTCGCGACTCAACGAACCAATTATCAGGCTACCAGGCTCTAGCCAAGAAGGATAAAGCCCTCTACAACCTCATTTTGGGGGCAATTAATACCCAGGCTGAGTTTGTTATTCAGTCGCCATACTGCAATGCCTTTCAACCTCCTCCGCCCAGTGGGCTTCAGCCGACAGCGAATGGACAGGATGACAAGGTCCATCCGGCATATGAGCCCTCTGTCGTGTTTGAATGCAAGTACGAGCTCGATTCATTAGCCCATTTTCTGGCACTGGGAACCCAATTCTTCGAAAACACAGGATCAACGGAGTTCCTCACGGACCGTTGGTACATGGCTCTAAACACCCTTCTCAAGGTTGTGGATGCGCAGTCACAGCCGACGTTCAACGCGCAAGGCCAATTCGTCACTAACCAGTACACATTCCAGCGCACGACCACCGCGGGAACTGAAACTTTGAACCTGGCGGGCGTTGGTAATCCATTGAATGATGGCACGGGTCTCATTCGAAGCGCCTTTCGCCCCAGTGACGACGCTACTATACTCGGGTTCTTCATCCCGCCTAATGCGATGATGTCCGTCCAGCTGAAGAGAACCGCGGATGTGATCAAGGCGGCAGGAGGAAGCGCGGACCTGGTCAAAGAGCTTCGGCAGCGAGGCGAGGAGCTTGATCAGGCTGTCAAAGAGCATGGGATCGTCCACCACGCAAAGTACGGCGATGTGTTTGCTTTCGAAGTTGACGGCTATGGCTCACGGATCCTCATGGACGATGCTAACATTCCGTCTCTGCTTTCGCTGCCTCTGCTGGGCTACGTTAACGAGAAAGATCCGGTGTATCAGAACACGCGCAAGATGATTCTCGACAAGGGCGGCAACCCGTATTATCTGACTGGCTCCGCGTTTCATGGCATTGGTGGACCTCACAGTAAGCTCACCCCATCTCCTTGTATAAATCTTTCCAGGAAAAAAGGAGAAGCTAACCGTGGTCTGTATATAGTCGGGTTGCAGAACGCTTGGCCAATGTCACTCCTAGTTCAGGCGATGACAAGCGACTCTGAAGCCGAGATCACCGAATGCATTAACCTTGTCCGTAATTCAAGTCTCCTGGGTCTCGTTCACGAGTCTATCAATGTCAACAATATCAAAGATTATACGCGTCCCTGGTTTGCTTGGGCCAACTCGGTCTTTGCGCAGACTATTTTGAAGATTGCGGCGGAGAGGCCGCATCTGATTTTTGGAGAGGACGCGAAGCCGTACATCATCCAGTGATTGCATATATACCCCTCTGTGGCTGATATTATTAGGAGCAGTCTACGCAGTCTACAGAAGAATAGCAGTTGGCGCTCCATCAGTCTATCGGGCTTTTGCCAGTATTAGACTCCAAGTTGACACATCCTTCTGTAGATGTAATCGTCGGTTGCATTGCTTGGTATAAAATGATAAAGGAAGCTCATCTAGATGCACGGTAGACCTATTGTCGATATGATTCATGACAATCAGATTAGAACTCGTCTCAGCCCTTCAGTACCCCCCAGCACCCTGCGTCCTGTCACTGGACATCTGCCTTTGCCGCTCTCCCACTTGCCCTGCCGACTGACTTTCTTCTCTTCAGGGCCCTCCTCTTTGTCTTTCACACCATCCTCATCGTCTTCATTCTCATCTTCCCAGGCGGCGCCCGCGCTCTCGCCATTCATAAAATCCAGCTGCCGCTGGTGCTCCCCATTCAGCCAGTGAAAGATGCAAACATAACAAAATACATAGCCGGTCTGGCACGCCGTCGGATTCGTCAACGTATTGAGGCAAATCGGGCAGGCAGACGCACTATCTGAGTCCGCGGGTGGGAGAGGAACGGTGAAGATAGGTAGGTACGAGGTAGCCGAGATGGGTGGCTGCATACGGCGACGGGGGCTTTTGAGCGCGGACTTGAGGTCCTTCGAGGCGGGTTCCTTGCCCTTCCGCGAGTCTGCCTTCTTGGTTCTCTCTGAAGGTGGAACCATACCGTTGACGACGGGGGCAGGGAGATCGAGCACCTCCGTCGCCTTGCGAGCCAGCTGGCGCGAGAAGTCGCTTGCGTGCCACCATTCGAGGAACTTCAGCGCGAAGATCGACGCCGGGAGGAAGTAGCGCAGCGAGGTGAGGAGTTGTGGGTAGAGATTCTGCGGGCTTAGGAGACCCAAGAGTCCCGAGCCGGGACGGGAGCGGGCGGCGGCAGCGCTGGCGCTGGGTTTGGCATCTAGCACTGCGGCGATGGCGCGGTGATCGGCGGCGCCTAGTCGGCGAATTCGTGTGCCGATGAGCCATAGGAAAGGGGAGGGGTATTTTGTGTTGTCGAAGAGGTAGGCCAGGTTGAAGGCTAGGATGGAGAAGTAGTACGCGGCGTTGACGGAGGGGTAGACGTTCCGCAGGAACCATTTGTAGTAGTACATCAGCCGCTGGCGGATTGTTGGGCTGGGGGGAAGGTCGTCGCTGGGATTGTATCGCGGCCCGCCGCTCGAAATCAGCGACGCCTGCGGTGCGGCGTGAATGTCGTAGCCCTCGTCCAGCTTGCGCTTCAGATAGGGGATTCCGACCATGACAAGAAGGTTCTTCCACACGTCCGAAGAGCGCAGCTTAAGTGACTCGCGCACGGGACCTGGCGCGCCGATTTGTGCCCGAGGAATCTCGCCATTCTTGGTCAGTAAGACACGTTCTCGTTTGAGAGAATAGAAGTTCTCGGTGAAAGAACCGCCAAAGGTGCGGAGATAGTATCGCTCGACAATGAGAGACAGGAGTGCATAGACTTCGTCGTATGAATTTAGGATCCGTAATAGATAGCGAGGATGACGATGTGTAGCGATCGCGAGGAGATATCGAAGTGAAGGAGGTAGGAGATCTGAGAGCTGTTGCTCAGCGAGGAGTTCTGTGGAACTGAATCAGTTGAGGTTCTCGAGTCCAATCATGAAGTTTGCCTACCAAAAAGCGACGGCTTGAGCTCGTCAAACTCCTGCTGAAGACTGGGTAGGTATTCCATCTTGAAAAAGGAAGCTAGTCATCATCAACCAGCTAGAGTTGAAACTACAGATCAATGCAGATGTTAAGAAGCGGACAATCGCCTCCAGTCTGGGGAAGATGCCGCCATGACGCTGGACTTGGCAGCCGAGGCTCATCGGCCGCCGTCGGGCATATGCGATATGGACTTGGCTGGCATCCGGTCTACTACTACACTCCAAACTACGTACGGAACAACAAAGATGTCCAACCTTTCATATCCAGATACATCCTAATTTACACGGGTATATATGCTTATAATACATTCGTATGCTCCGCAAAACCAGATCAAGCTCTCGCCGGCGCATTGTTTTTACATTCGTTCCAGATCAGTGCCAGATTGCTTGTTGACCCTTCTGTTGCCATCCGGTCAATGTCCGGTTCTGCAATCACAAGACAGTACATGACATCCTGAAGGGCCGGTCCCTTGAGCGGAATGGGGGGATGTTCCCGACTCATCATGGGCACCCAGGTGGATACACAGTCTCTGGCGCGACGCTCGTCTCCTAACTCTGCATGCAGCTGGAAAAGCATCTCATAATCTGTAGAAGTACGCGGGCTGCCATTCAGGGGGAGCTTGCGCCATAATTTCCAGAAACCGTCATAGTCTTCATTGCGAAACAGAGATAGCATAAGCTTGCGAACCTCCTCTGGGTCAAACGGAATGTTGAGGGTTTCAATCAATTTCGATACTCGCGATGCAGGTCGATTTTCGGTAGTGCCTGTTACATTTTCAATGACTTTTTCACCAGAAAGGTTTGCCGGACGACCGGCTGCTTTGTATAACAAATGGAACACTTTCATATTAAGGACATCAGTGCCGCGCAGAGTGAGATGTTCCAGGACGCGAAGGGCGAGTTCTCTGTCGGCATCTGGCAACACCCCAGAAGCCTCGAAACCTTCATCGTGGGCCGGATTTTCTGTTAACATGACTGAAACGATTTCGATGCCTAATTCGTCGGATGTAGGATAGGCGTGGTAGTTACAGGTCATGAAAGCTGTCCAAAGACTTTCCTTGCTGTATCCTCGATGGTGTCGACAGATAGCTGTGCATATCAACTTTATCCGAGCTACAGCTGCTTCTTCTGCTGACAATTTTGAAAGAGCATTGTAAAATAGACGCAGAAAGAGTGTCGAGTCCCTATCTTCCGGCCCAGCTCCTAGTTCACTCAGAAATTGGTCATCAGGTAGTCCGGACAGGTGTTCAAGCAATGAATCAGGAGCAACTTCTTTATCGAAAGAATCGTTGGCGGCAAGTTCGTTAGTTCGAGTGGATATTGAATTTGGAGACATATCCGAGCCGTTGTCTTCATTGTCTTTAGATTGAGGGTTCACGAGCCGACGATTGCTGTGTAGGCTCCTTCTTTGTTCCAGAGGAAGGCTCGCCAAAGACCTGGAGTGGTGTCCGAGCACATGGTCAGAGGATGATTTTTTCACTGGTGTAGAAGCACGAACCTCTTTATGAGGCGCGTCTGATTTGGCATCTACGGAAACTTGTCTCCGCCGTTTATCTCGTTCAAGTGCAGCAAGCCAAAGGCCTTCAAGATCGACTTCGGCCCTCTTCTCCTCCGTGAACATCTGTACTACAACTCGAGTGCCCCCCACAATGTTGCCAAACCCTTCGACCTTCCGAGATGCCTGTTCCTCGACCGGAAAGTTCTCAACAACGCCTGCGTTCACACAGATCCAGCCGGTAGTGATCCCATCATCCTTCTCGTCGACCGTTGTTCCAGCACGACTGGCGATCCTGGCACGGCGAGCTTTACGCCGAAGTTTGATCTTGAGTTCGTTCCGACCCAGCAGTCCATCCGCATAAGGTGTGAGTCTGTAGGTGCTTCTCAACCAGCGACAAAGGCGATCGGCTGAAACATTCAGATGCTTCACACTACGAGCGGTGCCAATGATCATGATGGCGTTGGCCCCAATGGGCGGGGGTGTTTCCAGACCTCTAAGGTCAAGCAAGCTCAATTCATCCAAGCCAAGATCTTTGAAAACGTAATCAAGGAGAACAGGAAGAATGGCTGGCGGGTTTTCAGGAAGCTCCGGGATCTGGTCTCGGGAGGAAATTTGGCGCGACTCGTCCGTCGGCGTCTCTTCCTGCAGATACCACGGTGTATGTTGAGATGACGCAGTAGAGACAGTTCTGTGAGAACTTCCATTCCCGTCATTTGGATCAAACTTCAATGGCTGACTGTCGGAGGGTGAGTTCTCGGAGCGAAGGTGAGGTGCGGACCAGAAGGCTCGACCGTTGACATTGTATGTTGAGCGGCAGAGGAATGAACGGCCAGAAGTTGATGGACATGCACGAAACAGTTCACTAAGGCCCTTAGGGCCTTTTAGCAATACCCGATTCATTTGCAGTATGATAGATTGGTACTAATCGAGAGGTCCAGCACCGTTCAAAGATTGGCGATATGAATGACCGATATTCAGTTCTTTCCCCGACAATGCAAACAGTGCAAACAGTCGATTACCAAGCGGGATGCTTTGATAAGCAGACAAACAGATCAAAAAAAAATGTTTCCTCCGCGGGGCAAAAGCAGCAAGAGTCTTCGACTCTGGGTTTATATTCTCATCTTGAGCCCTCTGTTCTATTTTCAAGTCTTTTTTTCATCAAGGGCTTCAAAATGTCGATGGATCTAGATGCCCCAGTCCCCTTTGCGGCTCCTCAGGAGGCAATTTCTGCAACGTAAGTCGTCCCCTCACCATTAACCCAATCTAATAAAAGTCTTCGTGTCTGATGAGGCTTATGAACTTGGCTGACGCTTGTGTCTCTCTAGAATTCTCTGTTGCAACTGTGGAGCTCCCATCGACGGAACAACATCGGCAGGCGCCCTCTGTCAAGATTGTGTCAGATTGACAGTCGATATCAGCCAGGGTATTCCCCGCGAAGCTGTCCTTCATTTCTGCAGAGATTGTGAGAGATGGCTTCAGCCTCCAACCGCTTGGGTCAGCGCCGCACTTGAATCGAAAGAGCTATTAGCGCTTTGTCTACGCAAGCTTAGGGGCTTGAACAAAGTCAGAATCATTGACGCGAGTTTCATCTGGACCGAACCCCATTCGAGACGTATTAAGGTCAAGATCACAATTCAGCAAGAGGCGTTTCAAGGAACCATTGTTCAGCAAGCTTTTGAAGTTGAATATGTGGTTCACGCTCAGCAATGCCCCGACTGCGCGAAGTCATATACACACAATACATGGCGAGCGTGAGTAGTTTTTGGTCCAGCAAGATTTAGTAGTTTCTTGCTAACTTCGTCTCTAGCTCTGTACAGGTGCGGCAGAAGGTCCCTCATAAGCGCACATTCCTCTACCTAGAACAATTGATCCTCAAGCACAACGCTCATCAGGATACGGTCAACATCAAGGAAGCAAAGGATGGATTGGACTTCTTCTTTGCCCAAAGGAACCATGCCGAAAAGATGATTGATTTCCTGTCGTCCGTCGCCCCGATCAAAGTCAAGAAGTCTCAGGAGTTGATTTCTATGGATATCCACACTTCGACCAAGTCATACAAATTCAGCTTCTCCGTCGAGTTGATTCCTATCTGCAAAGACGATTTGGTCGCTCTTCCCATCAAATTGGCCAGGTCACTCGGGAACATCTCTCCATTGGCCCTCTGTCACCGTGTTAGCACCGCAGTCAACTTGATCGATCCAAACACCCTTCAGACGGCCGAAGTACCCACCGCAGTGTATTGGAGAGCACCATTCAAAAATCTGGCGGACGTCAACGAGCTCGTAGAATTCATCATCATGGATATCGAGCCCGTTGGCCGTTCGAACGGACGATTTCATCTTGCGGAAGCGACTGTTGCGCGCGCCTCAGACCTGGGCTCGAACGATCAGACCTACTTCACTCGGACGCACTTGGGCGGAATTCTGCATGTCGGCGACTCTGTACTCGGCTACCATCTCACCGGCACAAACTTCAACGACCCCAACTTTGAAGCCATCGAAGCCAGCAGCCAGTACAGCTCTACTATTCCGGACGTTGTGCTGGTCAAGAAGCACTATGCTCGCAAGAAGAACAAGAAGACTCGCAACTGGCGACTCAAACGCATGGCTCGCGAATACGAGGAGGAGGCTCTGCAGCAGCAGGGTACGTCGCTCAGTCGCAAGCAAGAGCAGGAACGCGAACGCATGGAGGCCGACTTTGAGATGTTCCTGCGGGATGTCGAAGAAGACCAAGAATTGCGTAGCACCCTGGCATTGTACAAGAACCAAAAAGCACGCCCGAACGATCGTATGCAGGGTGTCGAAGGCGGTGCTGGTGGCATGGATATGGATGACGAGGAGAGCGATGATGAAGTGCCTAAGATCAGCATGGAAGAGTTGCTCGACGACTTTGACGAGCTGAACGTGGATGACGACGAATGAGTTCTCAATTGAGCTTTCATAACCATCATTGCATTTGAAGGATTCTGGCGTTCAATCAAGGTTTCATGTGCTTTCGACTTCTAGGTCAAACAATACCCGGGCAATCAAAAAGTTTTTTCATGCAGATATATAGAAATACATTCTACATTCATGAGCTTGGAAAAGAGGAAATTGTTGCAGGTAGTGGATATCTATGAAAGGCGTATCGACATGCATGCAGATTAGAAGATTTTACTCAGCACGCGCTTCGCATCATCTTCCAACGTAGAGTTATCCTTGATCTTATCCCGTCCCATCTTGACCTCGTTCTGTTTGAACAACCTGCGGATCTTGAGGTCCGACGCAGCCGCATCAGCGGCCGCCTCACCCTCAATCTCGGCTTTCTTCTTTCTCTTCTCCTCATTCTTCTTCTGGATCCCCTGCAGAACCTTGCCCTGCTCCACACCCTGCAAAAACACCTTATCTTCCTTCCGGGCCCTTGTATCCTCAATCCGCCTCTTCGCCTCCCTCTCCGACCTCTCCCGCTGTACCTGCTCCATTAGATCCGCCCACTTGAAGCCCTTCAGATACTTCATGTTCCACACATCGTCGTGGTACCACCCGCCCTTCTTCCCACCGACGATGGTCGCATTCAGCGTCTCCGCGCAGATCTTCGCCGTCTTCTTCGAGGCGAATTCCACCCAGCCGTCAGCGTAGGATTTCCGCTTGTTGGATCGTCGGCGAGGGGCGGAGGTCGATGGGACCTCGGGAGTCAAGAAGACCTTGGTGATGGGTGCGAAGCCGCGGGTTTCGAGCATGGATTTCAGAGCGAAGGGTTTAAGGTATGGGGGCAGAGAGGAGAGGTAGATGACGCCTGTTTTGTTCTTCTTGGGCGGCCGGGTTTTATCGAGGGGTTTCTTTTTCAGTTTTGTTGATTTGGCGGTGGCGCTGGATGTGGATGGTGATTGCGAGGGTGACTGTGTGACCGTTGTGTCCAGGTACTGATCTACTGGCATTTTCTCCCCATCGTCGTCTGCGTCTGCGTCTTCGTCTTCGTCTTCGTCGTCGCTGTCATTGCTGTGTTTCGTTGTTTGGGACTTGGACTTGGGCTTGCCCTTGAGCTTGGTCTTCGAGTCATCTTCTGACTCTGAGCTGCCGATGTCTGATTCCTCATCGCTGAGATCGTCTGCACGCGTGTGTGTCTTGCGTCGCTTCGCGAATCGACCTTTGCTCTCCTCTGCGGCCTCGGAGTCGTACCCGCGGTCACTGCCCTCATCATCGTCGGAGACGATATCCAGGAATTCGTTTCTTTTGCGAGTCGTCATGCTGATACCTTTGCACTGCGGTCTGGTGTAAGAGAGCGGAAATTTTATTTCTATACTGCAGTTGCTTGGTGATGTTATTTCTGGTTGCTGCGATGTTTCTGGAACTTCATGCAACATTTTTTGTTCCGCCGACTGGTCCGTGCACTGGTCCGATGCGCAGCCAATCATTTAGCATCTGGTCTGACCACAGGATTGAAGTATACATCACGCGGTATGACGGGTGATCATGGAATAGAGTAGGATAACGAATAGTTCATCTATACATATGCGTATGCATGATATACTCATGCTCTGTTGATCTAACAAAATGCTCAAAATGGCAGAGGTATCCGTCAAACTATGTGCTGAGGGCTCTTCCTGGCCACCCATGCAGAAAACACCAAAATTCAGAAACAACGGCAAAACAGACATCAAGAGGCCATTTTCTCGAAGTCTAGTGCGAGAGGGGTAATAAAAAATAACAGATAGTGTAGAGGTCGACTGAAACGCTTGGATGGCACAGTCATGAGGAAGTTATGGGTAAATTGGAATATCAAAACATAAAGAAAGGCTTCGTAGTCATGGCTTCACCTGTTAAATCCCTAATGACCACTTTAATCGTTCGTAAACAAAGAAGCTTGTGGCTGACATCGGCACCACCTTAATATAGCCGATCGTCAAGCCAACCCAGAATCCGCGAAAACCCTTCTCGAGGAATATCTTGCCCGCTGTCTCAGCAATACTCAATCGGTGTCCGTCCCCCACGGCTCCACCGACTTGCATCCGGCGTCGAATGACCTCAAGAGGATAGGAGCAGGTCTGCGACACAAGACCTGCGATAGCGCCGGAGAATAATTCCGCCGCAGCGGTGAGCTGTGGCCGGTGTGACCCCTTCCGCGACTGGCTGTGGGAGGACTGATCAGATCCTGGGATGGTGGTGTAGCGAGCAAGGAGAGGAGAGCGAAGCCAGTCGCCGACGGTGTCGTGTGTGAGGAAAGAGATGCCCGCATAGGGGAGCATGCCGAGCAGGGTGGGCGTGAACCCACGATAGAAGTTGGCCAACCCATATCGAGGAACGACCTTGTTGGCCACAGAAGAGGCATTCTCAGCAGTAGCCGTAACAGAGCCTGCTGTTCCTTTTGTTGCGGTCAACTCACTCGGCGCGGGCGGCGGCGAAGCCCGCTCGTTATAAATCTGTCGGAACGTGCCTGCCAACGACGAGCGTGCAGACTTCTTCGTCTCAAACGCTAGCCGCACCCGAATCAATTCCAACGGATACGTGAAGAACACGGATGTGACACCCGCCAGACTCCCGGAGATGAGTCTGCGAAACGGCGTCTCCTTGTCCCGCGAGGGAATGATCACGGCACGAATCTGCTCATATGCGAGAAATTTGATGGCAGCATACGGGAAAATTCGAAGAAGCGTGGCGGAATGGCCTTTGAAAAGACCTCGGGCACCCTCGTGTCGATGGATTTCCCGAACCGCCGATACAAGGCCAAACCAGCTGCCTGTATACTTGGCGAATTGCGGATTAGACGCTTGGAAAAGGATCTTCACACGATCGAGTGGCGCGACAACCGTCTTGGCCTATGCATCCCGAAGTGTCAGTCCCTAACGACATCAACCGACCCCCAATACCAAACGTCTTGACTCTTGAGGATCTCAAGGTAGGTCCTCTCGAATAGAGAAACCCTAGACTTACCGCACACCCCGCCAAACCCCCCGCAAGCCCGCTTCTTAATACATAGTCCAGACTCCGCTTGTCCACCTCCTTAGAACCTACGCGGCCATTCTGCTTCACAGGCAATGACGAGCTGGTATCGACAGGATGGTTCGCATGAGCTGTGGAATCTAGATCGCTCGCGACTGGCCGTCGAGACGGTCTCGACTGTGCGACTTGTTCCATCTGAGGACCGCCTTGCGGGCTTGTTTCCGTACTTAAGAAGTGATGTTGTCCACGGTCCGATACAACAAGAGGCTGATCAAGACGCACATGGTCCGGAAAAGCTGTCGACATGAGCGAAATCCAGGCAAGAGACCCAGTTTAGGTGTGGGGGAGGCTTTTGAGGAGAATGTCACGGGCTATCGGGTAACCGCGGCCATTGATAAAACGGAAATTTTGGCCAGAAGTGCGGGAATAAAGTGAATTGGATCACAATGTTGGGTCAGAAATCTGTGGTCTCTGCGCAACGTACTTAAAACGAATTGTAAAGGTAAGTCGACACAGGAACTGTTGAAGATCGCATGCCTGAACTCTGCCAAATGTGCCCTCACTGACGTCGGTCCGCTGGCGGAGCCCACGAGACCACAAAGCTGTTACGGCTCTGACATGCCGATACCTGCCGATGCGCGCTAACATGGGTCACGTTACCGTCTCGTTACGCGACGGTATCCGAGTGGCGGCGGATGCTCTTTCGGGGTGGCCAACCGACTCCGAATCATTTGTCATCCTGGACTAGTAAAAGAGGTGAGAAGAGTGAGTTCGATGGTCGCTAGATAGTGGTGTGGTGATGGTATTTATTGCAGTATTTCAATCATCTCTTGCAAAAATATGGATCTAGTTCCAGAGTAATAGGTAGAGCACAGGTCTTCCTCTATGCAGGGGTTGGCCGACAAAGCGCAACATGTATTTACAAATATCCAGACCGCCCCAGACAATCAATTCTTCCACCCTTGCTCTAGATGCAATGCTCTTCCAGAGTGTTATATCAGAATCAACCCAAATCTTCATGGTCTCGTCGCTAAAGTGTGTAGAAGAAAGCGCAATGCGAACACGCTTGTTGCTCATCCAATGCCTACTCGAAAATAGAAATGCCCTGAAACGCCCGCGGTCCAGTAGGGTACGAAGTTCAAAAAAGCCCCCGCCAAAATCAAGTCAAAAGCCGTTCAGAAATTGTAGCGTGTACCCTGCCGAGTCAACGGTCTGCCCTGCCGGTTTGTCGCCTTGATCTCCTTGGGTTCATCCGTCACTCTCTTGGCCCGCTTCGATGGCCGTGAAGCGTCAACATGCAGATAACCGTTCTCCGACAGGGCTGTCGTGTTCCGCCATTTCAAGCAGCGATGCTTGTGGTCGTCCACGTAGGTCTTGTTCCGCGTTGTCATCCGCTTTGTCTGCATTTCCTCGGATTCGGCTCGTTCGGCTGTCTGCTCCAGGTACTCCTTCCGGCACTTCATGTACTTGACTATATGGTCGCGCTGTATCTGAAGCTCCTTGCGTAGTCTGGACTCGCGATTACCTCGTGAATCTAACCATTCGATCAATTTGTCAATCGCGTCTGGATCATCAAAATAGCCCCATTCGTGGGCTTCGGAAAGCCTGGTGGGCCCTTCCTCGTTCTTCTTGCGCTCTGCAGGGGTAGTGTGGAATTCTTTCTGATACTGTTTCCGCTGATCGTCCGGCACGTCGATAAATCCCACGCGCTCCATCTCATCTGGGCCCTGGACCCAAAGGCGACCATTTGCATAATGAGCCTCCGCTGTTGAGCTGCTGGGCATGCCGCCATACGGCATCGCGTTGCGTTCGAACCACCAGTATCGGTTGCAGAAACGATCCTTCCCAAGACACCTAGTCCGCGGACAATCGGCTTCTCTTAGGTCATTATCCACCACCTCAATCTTCTTCTCCAGTTTCTCAATGGCAGCTTTCTGGTCTTCGATCTTCTTCAAAACTCTTTGGTACTGCTTCGATCCTTTTGGCTGCTTGGTCAGTTGCTCCTTTCTCTCCCGCTCCTCTTCTTGTTTTCGCTTTCGCTCGAGAATTCTGTCCAAGCCTCCGCGGAGCGACCGTTGTTGCGGCGCGTCGTCATCCTCGGTATCCATGACCTGCTCAGAGTCGCCGTCCACGCCTGTCATTTTGGAATCTTCCAAAGCCTCTAATTCAGGCACTGGGGACGGTGATTTTTCTTGCTCCGGTTGGAGCGCCTTCCGCTCTTGGTGCAACCGACGGAGTTCCTCGAGTCTGCAATGGGGGGAAGATGGTTAATCAGGGGAACTGTAGGCGACGTCGAGACACTTACGCTACTTTCCGAGCCCTCTGATACTCAATCTTTTCTTTGCGGAACTCAGTCATCTGGTTGCTGCACTCCTCCAGGTAGTTTCGAATAGCCTTCGTTTCCAAACTGAGCATGCAGATGATCTGAAGAGCCTGGACGCGCAGGTTGACATTTAACGTGGCGTACTGGGACTGCACTGTTTCTTGGGTAGGCTCGGCATCAAGTGGCGCGAGATGTTTGAGAATCTCGTTGCAAACCTTTTCCATCCGTGGTCGGGCTGACAGTTGATGCAGAAGGCCGACCATCACCATCTCCCATCCACCGTGACGGAAATCTCGTTTCCGTAAACGTTCGATCCAGCCGTAGTCTCCAAACACCTCCGCTGCACGGTGAACTTTTATCTCTTCCGAGTTTGCACGGCTACGATTCGCTTGTGCCTTTAGATTTTCCGCCTCCGCTTTGGCCAAGCTACTCCGCGTTGTCATTCTTGTCACAACAGGTTCAGGCTCCGGGGACGGCTCTTTTTCCTCCTCAACCTCCTCTTCGGCTTCGGAATCATCAGATTCCGCATCAGGAAGGTCTGGCAATGAGACTTGTACGGCCCCTTCGTCGTCTTTCTCGGCGTTGACGAGCTTCTTCAGAACAGCGCAATGGATTTCCGCAAAAAGTTCGCATTCCACTTCATCCGACGAGAAGCGCATTGCCTGAAGAAAATCATCAAATGTGAACGAGTCTAGCTGGAATACTTCGCAGTAAACATTGAGAGTGTTCCAAGTCTCTAATAGCAGGCCCACTGATTGCATTTCGATCTTGTCGTGCAAGAGCTCTTCATCATCAGGATCATCATTTTCATCGACAGCCAAAAATTTCAGTGGCGGCCGTTGCTTCTTCTTCTCGCGGTCTGGTGGAATTTCCAGGTCTTCGATGGGATACTTAATTGGAGGTGGAGTCGGTGGCTTGGCAAGCTCGGTTTTGACGACGACTGTAGGAATGGGTTGTGGTTTCTTTTCTTCTTGGGGTTTTGGA